ACACTTTCACCCAGTTGTCCTCTGAATCTTTCAGATGTTCATTGGCAAACTTCAGACGGGCATGTATATGTGCTTTCTTGAGCAGGGGGACCTTGCGGGCGCTGCAGGATTCCAGTCCTTCACGGCGTAGTGTGTTACAAATTGTTTTCTTGGTGACGATAGTCCCAGCTGCCTTGAGATCATTGACAAGATCCTCCCGTGTAGTGCTGGGCTGATTCCTCACCGTTCTCATGATCATTGAAACTCCACGAGGTGAGATCTTGCATGGAGCCCCAGGCCGAGGGAGATTGACAGTTCTTTTGCGTTTCTTCCATTTGCGAATAATCGCACCAACTGTTGTCACCTTCTCACCAAGCTGCTTGGCAATGGTCTTATAGCCCATTCCAGCCTTGTGTAGGCCTACAATCTTGTCCCTGACATCCTTGGCCATGGTGGAGAGTTTGGAATCTGATTGATTGCTTCTGTGGACAGGTGTCTTTTATACAGGTAGCAAGCTGAGATTAGGAGCACTCCCTTTAAGAGTGTGCTCCTAATCTCAGCTCGTTACCTGTATAAAAGACACCTGGGAGCCAGAAATCTTTCTGATTGAGAGGGGGTCAAATACTTATTTCCCTCATTAAAATGCAAATCAATTTATAACATTTTTGACATGCGTTTTTCTGGATTTCTTGTTGTTATTTTGTCTCTCACTGTTCAAATAAACCTACCATTAAAATTCTAGACTGATCATTTCTTTGTCAGTGGGCAAACGTACAAGATCAGCAGGGGATCAAATACTTTTTTCCCTCACTGTATGACTTCGCCTTGGACATAAATCATAACAATAGGCACTGCTCCGTTGCTCTGTCTCCCATGGTGCTGTTGTGCATTCACATACTTGACTTTAAATTTCACCAACGTAACATTTAAATGTTTAACTTTCTTAATGTTTGATTTATTACTCATTGTCCACGAACACCGCTGCTCTTGTGAATGTAAACACTGCTCATTTGTCAACTTCAAATGTTTGACGCTTCTTTAAAGCCCCAGTTTTTGAATATGAATACGGTTGTTTCCTATAATAGTAGCTATTAAGTATAACAGACACACACTTCAATAGTCAAAAAGCAGTATTACGAAATCAACTCATTTGTATTCAAAGTAACATAATGGACTGTTGCTAGAGCGCATTGCATTTGGGGCAGGTTTGTTGTCGAGAGGACAAGACGCAGCCCACTAGGCCATGCGTCCCTGGGCCCAACCACCACCGCCACCACCACCACCGCCAACACCGCTACCACCACCGCTATCACCACCGCCACCACGACCGCCACCACCGCCACCACCACCGCCACCACCACCACCACCATCGCCACCATCGCAATAAAAAGGGAATCGATTCTAGATTTGAAGCTTTCGTGACTGCAATGATCCATACTCTTTGGTTCTATTCGGTAAAGGCACGTAGGTAAAAAATAAAACAACAAAAATCACGACGTTTCGGCCACAACACAAGCGGCCTTCATCAGGTGAAGGGACCAGACTGTCTCGAGGACAGCGCTGGAGTGAACACAGCCAAGCTCAGACCGCGACCTTTAAGCTGTGTGAGAGGAATTAAGGTGCCTTGACAAAGGAATTAACATAAAAATTAGCATTTAATTGGCGGACTTAGCATGATGAACGGTGTAGAGGGGGTGAACATGTGCAGGTCGGCGAGGGGGGAGGGAGAGTTTACATATTGATGGTGTGAAAAGGGAATTTTGAGAGCTGCGAAAGTTTGGGGTACCACTACTTGAAAAAATATACTGTACCATTGAAAATTAGTTTAATGTTTGGTTCGATTTAGAACATCTTTCCAATGGTTGCTTAATTTGAAACCATCTTCTCGGTTGAAATTGTGTCTGTGTTTGTAAATCTGAATTGCCTCGTGAACAAATCTCTGATAAAAACCCGTGGGTTTGCAAAGAACCTTTCTTCGATACCAAGGTTCTTTCTCTCACACAGCTTAAAGGTCGCGGTCTGAGCTTGGCTGTGTTCACTCCAGCGCTGTCCTCGAGACAGTCTGGTCCCTTCACCTGATGAAGGCCGCTTGTGTTGTGGCCGAAACGTCGTGATTTTTGTTGTTTTATTTTTTACCTACGTGACTTTACCGAATAGAACCGAAGAGTATAAAAAGGGAATCGACCTGCCCTCCATTCCTGACGCGGATAAATCTGAGAATTGAAGTAAACCGACTGATTCCCAGCCATGGGAATCAACAAATAGAGAGAGAGAGAGATTTAAGGCTACGTTATTGACGAACGTGCTAAGGTTTTTTTTATTTTCGTAATTTGTTATTTAACCAAATTATTAAACGAAATGTATTGGCTACCTGTACAAATCTCACTTTCTCTCTCTCTATGTCGTCTTTTGTTATCTCCTTCACCGGCACCTCCAATTAGCACGGTTGACGACGTACAGTGCGAAAGAAGTTCAACACACACACACACAAATCGCGACGCGTCCGGCAGGGTGTCCCCTCCAATGCACACCCGTGCATTTATGGTTCACGGCGCGCTCTCGTTTGTAGTCTTTTTCCTCCTCTTCAAAGCGATGGAGCAGTGAAGACGCCCGCATCTGCAGCTTGCCAGCGGCTGAGCTCGTCAGGAGCCACGTGACTTGAGGTGTCCTCAGTTCACAAGTGGGGCACTCGACTCGCGATTTCGCCGAATTACACCTCCAAGCTTAGCAACCAAAATTGTTACGCTGTGTGTGTGTGCGTGCATATGCATATCGCGAGTGTGGTGGATAATATAGACAATGTTCATATCCACTGCTGGATGAAGACGGCATATTAATATCCACCAGCCGCCGTATCGGTCATGCTTTGACCGCTGCTCGGGCCTGGTTCGGATATCACCCGCCGCTGGTGTCTGCCCGTGGCCGTGAATCGAACTTAGGCGGCTGGCTGCGCTGGAGCAAATGCGCGTTCCACCGCAAACGCGTGCGGCCCACAGCAGCCGCTGCGTGTAAGGTCGCCGGCAGTCATCACTGTGCGCTCGGTCAAATGTCAATTGTCAATTGCAAAGGGCGTAGGTGGTACAACTCTCAAATGTCACACTCTGTCCCGTTGTTCATTTGTGCGTGCAATTTTTTTTCTGTGTCCATATTTTACAGTGAATCATCCCTGAAGTGTATTTCTGTTGAATTTCGCGTGGAACTAGGAGTCTACCCTCCCCCGCCTGCCATATCGTAAGCAGAGTTTTGGTCCTCGCCTCTAAGATTGGCAGGTCACCAGCACTGATTTAAGAATGCCTGACACTGCTGATAAGACGCTGAATGTCGAAAACCGGTCCAGAGTTTTTGCTTGTGCTGAGTCAATGCTGCTGAGATGACGCGCTCCCAGAAGGCCGTGCGGGTTGACGGGTTGCGTGTTCAGTTTTTGTGTCCTTCTCCCGCACCTCCGATTATCACGGTTGGCTACGTACGGTGGGAAAGAAGTTCAACCATACATACATTCAAGAAATACTGGTTGATGTGGAGAGACGGAGATGTGAAGGACATCTATTGATAATGTAGGATTATTGATGACTATTGACGATATTTAAACATCACTGCAGTATGCCTTCATGTATTTTCATTCCGTTAAGTAAATTTTAGACCAGGTGGGAGTCCATTAAGGCCAGACGTGTATTTCTCAGGGGAGACCTGGGGAAATGAACAAATTGCAACACCGACTAATCAGGCCGGAGACATCGTGAACGTCAGCAGGGTGGTGACGCAGTGGTTGATACTCGCGACTTACAGCAACAAGCACCTGAGTTCCATCCCCGATCAAACGTTACTAAATTCGCTGTGTCGGGTGGTGACGGGTTTAACGACACATTTATTTATTTACGCGATCTAACCCCCCCAAAAAAACCTGCGTTAGGGACCGCATTAGCAGTTGTTGGCAAAGCCATAAATGACTTTCCGCTTGGCTCCCTCCCTTCACCCCCCCCCCCCTCTGTATGTCTCTATTAAACCACAGCACAGAACGTGCTTGCACCTGCGCCTAACATCATGTTCGGCGCCTGCTGCTCTCGCACTATGCCCGGTTTCTCGTTTCGCCTTGCGATTCAGTCGACGGTCGTCGCACGCCGCGCCTGTTAGTTTTGCAACAACCCTCAAGGACCCTGTACTCCTTCTGAGCAAATGTCAACAACAACGAAATCACCACAACACAAATACACAACCTTTGCTAAAGTAGTCGTATACTTGTTGATGTTGTTGTTGTTGTTGTTCTTAATTATACGTGTTTCTCCCGTAACGCCACATATGCTCATTCATCATCATCATCGCTGCTGCTGCTGCTGCGTCCGATGTATTTAATTAACGCGCGAGCCGCACAGCGCGTGATTCAGGTGGTGACTGCGCGTGCGTGACTCGGGGGTGACTGCGCGTGCGTGATTCAGGTGGTGACTGCGCGTGCGTGACTCGGGGGTGACTGCGCGTGCGTGATTCAGGTGGTGACTGCGCGTGCGTGACTCGGGGGGTGACTGCGCGTGCGTGACTCGGGGGGTGACTGCGCGTGCGTGATTCAGGGGGTGACTGCGCGTGCGTGACTCGGGGGTGGCTGCGCGTGCGTGACTCGGGGGTGACTGCGCGTGCGTCACTCGGGGGTGACTGCGCGTGCGTCACTCGGGGGTGACTGCGCGTGCGTGACTCGGGGGTGACTGCGCGTGCGTGACTCGGGGGTGGCTGCGCGTGCGTGACTCGGGGGTGGCTGCGCGTGCGTGACTCGGGGGTGGCTGCGCGTGCGTGACTCGGGGGTGACTGCGCGTGCGTGACTCGGTGACCTAGGATGCGCCTGCCTACGTGACTCGCGGCTAACAACCAAACGGCAGAGCAGCAATACAAAACAAACCTCCTAACATTGTTCGGGGTAGACGTGGGGGTGGGTAGGTGGGTGGGTGGGGGCGAGGTGGAGGAGGGGTCAGGGTGGGGGGGGGGTATTGGTGATTTTTTGTTGTTGGCCAGGAGGCTCCTCGACAGAAGCCACGCGTGTCGTCTTAGCGTGCTCGCCTATATAAGGGGAACACATTTCGCTTTGTGGAGCCGCAGCCTCTCTCTCTCTCTCTCCTCTTCTCTGTGCCTCTTCAATTCGTTTCGTTCCAAAGTCGCCGCAGCAGCAGCAGCAGCTGTAGTCATGAGTGCCATCGTGGACAGCGGTAGCGCCCCGGCTCTGAGTGGGGACGAGAAGGCGGCCATCAAGAGCACGTGGCCCTCCGTGTTCGCCAAGGCTGAGGACGTCGGCGCAGAGATGCTCTCCAGGTAAGGAGGTCGCTTGCCCGGGGGCGGCCGGGCGGCCGGGCGGGCGGGCAACGATCGATACGGCTTCGAACGTCCACAATGAGCATCGTCATTCTTCCTCGCGTCGTTATAATGGTCATCGTCGTCGTTGTGTAATCGACGCAAACAATTCGAATGCAAACGCGTCTAAGGTGTCCTCGTGTTCGAAAGAGAGAGAGAGAGAGAAAAAAACGATGGCCGTTCGTGTTGTTGCTGTTTTGTCGCTGTTATACATTGTTCGCTAAATGCGATGCCCGCGTTGTGGGAATTGCTGGCACTTAGGGACCTGGTTTGTCCTTTGAGGTTTTTGTTATATGTATCTATTACCCATATCCCCCTAGGCAGTGAGCGTTCACGTGGTTGAAATAGGGGCACTCAATCAGTCATCATCATCATGCAGGTGAAGTCGTGTCCGTCACGGGCGCCACTCACGGGAACGCTACTCCTCAAGCTCACGAATCGTGGCCTCCGCGCGGTCTGTCCTTTCATGGCTGAGCAATCGGCATGAAGTGCCCTCATTTGAATGTGGAGTGGGGTCTCTTGTGGACGTGCAGAGAGGGGGCCACGGGAAGAGACAGGGGGCGAGAAGCCCACGAATAACCCACCAGCCCCGATAACCCAAATATTCCAAACCGCGTGTCAAACATTAAAGTTCGGATTTTCGGTCTGCTACCGTCAATAAATTTTGTTTACGTTTAATGTAATCTTAATTTGCGTGCGTGTCTGCTATTTACGGTCTTGCATTTGCATCGCGGTTGCGTTGTTGAGTCGATGACCCCCGACTGTCTGCTGCGATTGACAATCCCCAGCCGTGTGCTTGTCAGAATTGAGAGTCTTTATTTTGACTGCAGAAGGAATCCGATCAGCCGCAAAGCTCTTAATTTGTTTTCTCACAGGTATCCAGTACGTGGTTAGAGCCTTCGGTTCGGCCTCGGTGGGAGGGTGAGGGGTACAAAGGGCTCCGCAGTCTCCATGGGGCCTCTCCCTGGTTCGCCAGATTTCAACACCCAGTGCCGGATGAAGCGAGTGCGGGCTCTGTAGCAGAAATTATAAAGGGGCCTTAATTTTTTTTTTAAAACCACGTAAATATTCAAACACAGAAATTATTAACTCGCATAGTAAAGTAATTGTATGTTTTCATTTGCTATGCAGCCAGATAATACGACAAATCGCTAACCGTAAACACCCAGTCGATCATAAAAGTTGAAGGCAGTATAGTACTATAGTAATAGAGCAAGTGCAGAATCACTGAACCGGAATTGATAGCTTGAAAGCGTTTCACGCGGGTTCCTTGAAAGTGCGGGGCCCGTAGCTGCTGCATATGTAGTCGCTACTACATATGTAGTAGCTACTACAAGTGTAGTAGCTACTACATGTGTAGCTACTTTTGCTCCTAGGAAAATCCGGCACTGGTCAACACTGGCCCCGCTAGATGCCCACCCTCTCCAGGGGCGCTCTCATTCACTTACTGAACTAAACCGTTTGTTTTCTTGTTAATTAACCGCTGAGCTACATAGCTCTAGCTGAGAAGCGACCAGGCTATCTCGCAGTTGATCAGAGGCTCAACGGAAGCGGACGTTTATAGCAGCCGAATACTCTAAAGAGGTACGTTGATTCTAAATGTGGAGGGGGGGAAAAGCCGTAGGACTCGGAGACAAAATCTACGCGACCACAGGGAGAGGAGAGACCGCAAACTCCACATATACAGCTGGCGTCGGGGTCGGGATCGGGATCGAACCCACAACCTCCTGCACACCAGGCGAGGTAGTTAACATCTCCTAACTACCACGGCGCCCTAACTAACATCGCCGCCACCACCACCACCGTCATCATTGCAGATTCATCAGCAGCAACGCGGACGTGAAGAAGTACTTTCCCAAGTTCAAGGACATCTCGTCGCAGGCCGAGCTCAAGTCGTCGGCCAAGGTGCGCGATCACGCCAAGCGCATCATGGCCTTCATCAACGATCTCGTGGACAACATCGACAACGCCGGCGCGCAGACCGCCAAGCTGCACTCGCTGAGCGCCGAGCACGCGGAGAAGTTCAAGGTGGACCCGCAGTACTTCAAGGTGCGCGCGCGCTCTCCTGCTGCACGCTGCTATGCGCTAACAAAACCCCGCAAACTAGGCCCTTGCACCCCGCCACACTGCACCCCAAACACACCGCACACTGGACCCTGCACAATGCACACTGCACCCGCACACCGCACCCCAAACACACCGCACACCACACGTGCACTCTGCACACTGCACCCTGCACAATGCAAAACTGCACAATGCACACCGCACACTGGACCCTGCACACCGCACACTGCACCCTGCACAGTGCACACCGCACATGCCCTCTGCACGCTGCACCCTAAACACACCGCACACCGCACGTGCACTCTGCACGCTGCACCCTGCACTCTGGACCCTGCAACGCGCGAACTGCAATCGCCGGATCGCATTTGACAAAACAAAAAAAAAATACTTTGTCGACCAAAATGTTTCGTCACTAACGTCGTGAACAAAATTGAACACTGGAAGAAAAACCCTGTGGTAAAAATAAGTATATATTTACCCTGACTAAATTACGTGTAGCGTGCACAACATATAAATGTTCAGTCCGATATTAAAACACGGCTGAGAGTGTTCGTTGAGATTACAAAAATGTGTTTGTTGTTGCTTTGGCAGCGTGGAGCTGTAAAACTTGTTATTATTTCGGCACAGACATATTTATTTATGTAATATGGGTGCTTGCACTGGGGGTAATCTCCTTAAATTAAGATCGTGATCGGGTAACAATGTCTGTGAATCCTTCCTACCAACACCGCCAAGTGATTTGGATGCCACCCCGCGGTCCATTTGTGAACATCCCGGAGACAGTGAAACATTGACCAGCGGTTCATCCCCCGACCAGCAAGCCACCGATGTACGATTACTAATTTATCTGCATTGTAAGGCGCTCCGCAAAGTAAGCAGTCAGTTTGGTGGACTATTTAAAGTTGTTTTGTGGGCTATTTTTTGCTCTGCTATGCTACAGCGCCTTGTGACCCGCAGGTAAAGGGCACTCTAGCAGTGTAAAAGATTATACAAATATGGTCAGTCTTACATTAAAATAGGGGGGGGAGGGGGGGGGTGTTGCGTCTTATAATCCGGAGAATACGGTAACACGGTAACACGTGATTGCTGGCCGGAAGCCGCACATTCGTCAAGGCGTCAAACTGGATGTGAGACATCAACATCACGGTTCCACCTTGACCCTCATCCTGACCCCGACCCTAGCCGTGACCCTAGCCGTGACCCTAGCCGTGACCCTTGCCGTGACCCTAGCCCTCACCCTCACCCAACGCGGGCCAATGGCTTCACGGAGCCAGGCGGCAACCACGCCGGCGGTAGGCTGTGTGGCCCCCGTGTGCACCCCCCGTGTGCGGCGGCCCTGACCACGGCCCACCGCTCCCCTTGCTCGCAGGTCATCTCCAACGTGCTGCTCGACATCCTGGGCGAGACCTTCGGCGCGAGCTTCAGCGGCGCCACTCGCTCGGCCTGGATCAAGCTCCTGAGCATCATCTGCATTGGGCTGCGCTCGGCTTTCTAAGCGGGCGCTCCCCCCTACCCCCCCCCCCCCGCTTGACCCCCTCCCTTCCCCCCCATCAACCCCCTCCCCCCACTCCGTACTCTGCGGGTTAACTCGGCGGCACACCTTGGGGGGAGGGGGGGGGGCAGAGCGAATGTTGGCAACATTGAAACGATCGTAGCGACGAAGAGCGGTGCGTGGGATTTGTCCCGCCGTGGCGCGATGAGTTCTCGAGATTCGCGACCTCGTTGTGGGGGTGTTGTTTGTTGTTGTTGATGTCGCTCGGCACCACATTGTCGCCTGCTGAGCTTAAACGCATCGGAGGGCGCGACCGTGGCACCGGGCGGACGGCCGGTCGCCCGCCCGCCCGCGCAATTAAGTTTTGGCGGAAATAAAGTTAATAAAATAAAGTTAACGAAATAAAGTCGATACAATAAAGGGGTAGCCCGCTTAGCGGAGGTGTCGCTCAATGCTGCCGCAGTCGCTCACCGCAGGAGGCTGCCGTCGGCAAAAGAACAAAGAGAGACAACAACCGGCCCGTGGCCACGCCGCAATTGGGTTTTTTTTTTCAAAGAAATGAAAATCAACGTGGAAATGAAATCGCTTTGCTCGTTCACCCCCCCACCCCAACCCCCAATGTTGTGACGTCGCCGCTTAGGATTCGTGAGACGGCGGTGGCGATGTCGACGATTCAACATCGCGCCAGTCGCTTTTTCTCACACGGGGCGGCCCATGACCCCAAATGTATTCGTTTAAGTCTCCGATTTGTCGCTTAAATAAAGAAGTAGGATAGATGACGTTACTCTGTCACTGGTTATCCGCGACAGGCGCTGATTTTGGAACTTGGCACGGGTAAAAATGTTCAGCGTTAAGCGAGAATATCCGTCCCTTGAATACTTGTGATATTGCCGAAATCACTCCATACACATTAGAGAGCCACGCACCACACAAGTCATATGCTTAAGCATGCTTTCATTATATTTTTGTACACTAGTGATCCCAGTCTATGCAGGCAAAACATTCTGAGAAATGCCCGCTTAAGGCGTCGCCTTCTGCGTTGGTAAACTTACACACGGTTGGATAAACGGAACAAATTCGCTTCAAATGCGCCCGACGATGGCTCTCAAAAGCCGCGTACACTATCCCCGGCGCCGCTGCGTGTTTTCGTGACTGCGCCCACCGAGGCAGCCGCTGTTTCGTGGGGCGATGTTGTGGAGTGGGGCTCGCATCAGGTTCCTGAGCGGGCATCCTGACTCGCCCCCCCCCCCATCCCGCCCTGGCCGTTTCTCAGCTCACTAATTAAAGCGACCGTCTGCGGTCACATCAGCACCACCCACGGTGTCTCAGCTACCTCACTTTTGTGTCATTTTTTTAAATCAAGAAATTAACGTGGGGGGCATTTCTTCTTCCCTGTGGGGCAGAGTTGTTGGCAGACTCCAGTCCTCGTGACCCCCCCCCCCCCCCATCCAAAGGCCATCCACGATTCCGTCTTTCCGCCTTTTGCCAATATACTCATCGAATGCAAATCCGGCATTCCCACGTTGCACGCGCCCGATGATTGTTTAAACACGTGCCACGTGACGCTCTCGGAAATGGACGCTGCCTGCGTCACGCGGAACACGTGTACACAGACAAAGATCCCCCGTATAGCCTTAACAGACTGTTGGGGCGCGTGTGTGTGTACAAACACACACACGCGCACACTGAGATCTCAATCTTCACTTGAATCGGCTGTATTTAGGCAGACAGCGTTAATTTCTGAACGTGGGACGTGTTTAACAATCATCGGGCGCGTGCAGCGTGGGGCGAGTTCATTTGTATTTGAATGGGGGGGGGGGGGGGGGTAAATCGGTGAATGCGGAAAGACAGTGCGTGGTGGTGGTGGTGGGTCTCCAGGACCGAAGTGTGGGACAGCCTGCTATGGGTCATATTCTCATCTTGACGACGGCAGTTCATTTTTGTCAAGATTGCTTTTTGTTTTTGCCGAAACTTGCGTATGTCTCCATCGTTGAACACGGGGGAGGGCGATGGTAATATTGATACGTCCACCAGACTGACGGCATACTTACTGCCCGTCCGTGTCGTAAGACATACTCTCTTAAAGTGTAATGTGAAACGGGGCGATTCGAAGGCCATGCGGTCTTGACTCACGCCGCGGGCTTCCACGCGGTCGCGGTAATGTCGCCAGCGTCGCCGCGTGCACCTCTCGACCAATCAGGGAAGAGCTACCGCAGAGCAACGGCTCGGCCAATCACGGCACCGCGCCCTCCGTGGGCAAGCACATCGATAGAGAATCGAGCCACACAATGCCCCTGCAGAGTATAAAACAACACAACGCCTGCTTTGTTTATTTGCTTCATCTCTACCGGTCCGCAGTGTTCTTCTTTTTACGGCATTCATGGGGGGAGGGGGAGTGGGGATTTAAAATAAAAAAGCACAGAATAACACAAAGCAAGTCCTACTCGGCGATTGTAATTGCACAGGCGGGTGTTGGGTGGTAGAGATGTAGAGTGATGTAGTGTGCATCTCGTGGCATGTGCGTAACGGGTGGCTTCTTCTTGACTCCGGTGTTTTTGCTTTTTTTTAAATAATAAATTCGGTCATCCGGGGCGTCAGCACGACACGGGGGTGATAGGAGCAACCGTACCATTCGCCAGAAGTCACGCCACGACTTTGACACCACTGCCCAACACCGCAACATCGCCAAATAACGCGTTCACTAAAGATGAGACACCTGGCTGAGTTTTAACGTCACAATTCAAACTGAAACTCGCGGAGTTCATCCGATGGTAACTCTGCATTTTATGACGCATTTAATCCAGTGTGCATTTTTCAAAGTCACCATCCGTACAGAGTGGGGGGGTTTGTGTATTTTTACTCGCTGTGACAATGTACTCACAATGCTGACCATTATACTTAGACATTTACGCATCCTTTTTTTTAATATATATCATATTGCTAGTAATGTAGTTATTCGTAGAAATGGTGAAAGTTTTTACACGAATTTACCTTCTTTTTTTTAATCCTTAGCATTATCTGCAGACGTACGAGACAATTCAAATGTCCACTTGGTTTTTTTTTGTAGTTGAATGAATTTAATATCACGCCAATATCGCGAGCGCAAATATAACCGATGTTTTTTGTGCGCGACGCACAAACTTGCCGACACGAATTACGAATCACGCGGTGTATTATATACGGACTGCACTATACTACACACACATCCAACACACACACATTCAACACACACACACATCCAACACACACACATTCAACACACACATCCAACACACACACACATCCAACACACACACACACCCAACCCACACATCCAACACGCACATCCAACACACACATCCAACACACACACACATACATCCAACACACACACACATCCAACACACACACACATCCAACACACACACATCCAACACACACACATCCAATACACACACACATCCAATACACATACATTCAACACACACACACATCCAACACGTGCGCGCGCACACGCACGCACGCGCACTTCCATCAAAATAATCGTCATCATCAAATCCATTTTCAGTCCACTGTTGGATGAAGGTCGTTTATGGTTTGCATCTGAAAGGACGACAGCCAGTTTATGTTGCCAAAGCGGCGAGTTTCAGGACTTGGGGGAACTTTGCGACCGCTGTGAGCCAACTTCGCTCCGGGTGGTTCACAGTGGGAGCTTGCGATGGTCTCATTCTATCGGGTTCATTGTCCGGCTCGCCTCTAAGTGTAATAATATACACGCAAGTACACGCGCATTGGTATGCTGTGTTATTTACTGACACACACTATACACACACACGCATAGGTCTCGTCCATCCACTGGACGCATCTGGGCCCAGCGAAACGTGGTGGCTCGCTCAGGTGAAAGGCTGCCACCTAGAATGTATAGCCCATACATTTGTAATCTTAGCAATACATTTTTAACAAAGTTAGATCAGGGAATTAACATAATCCTATACTTTGTTTTGTCATAACCTCTAGAAGGTGTGCTTATAGTATTATATAAGTTATGTTTATAGTCTTATATAAGCATTGACGCACGCATATTCACTTGTACTTGCTACTCGTGGCACATTGGTTCACAGACGTACACACACATTCATTCAAGCGACACACACATTCATTCAAGCGATTCACACACATTCATTCAAGCGATTCACACACATTCATTCAAGCGACACACACACATTCATTCAAGCGACACACACATTAATTCAAGCGATTCACACACATTAATTCAAGCGATTCACACACACATTCATTCATTCAAGCGACACACACACATTCATTCAAGCGACACACACATTCATTCAAGCGATTCACACACATTCATTCAAGCGATTCACACACACACATTCATTCAAGCGACACACACATTCATTCAAGCGATTCACACACACATTCATTCAAGCGATTCACACACACATTCATTCAAGCGACACACACACACTCATTCAAACGACACACACATTCATTCAAGCGATTCACACACACATGCATTCAAGCGATTCACACACACATTCATTCAAGCGATTCACACACATTCATTCAAGCGACACACACACACATTCATTCAAGCGACACACACACACATTCATTCAAGCGATTCACACACACATTCATTCAAGCGATTCACACATTCATTCAAGCGACACACACATTCATTCAAGCGACACACACACACATTCATTCAAGCGACACACACACACATTCATTCAAGCGATTCACACACACACATTCATTCTTTGAAACGAGTTCAAAACTGGGGGAAATTTGTCCTCGAGACGGCGAAAAAAACGTGGGTGCAGGGTGCAGGGTGCAGTGTGCAGGAGTAGTCTCGAGCGACGTTGTTCATCGCAAGGCCCGGGGGCCACTAGCGGCCCCTTGTGGCCTTTAGTGCGGCCCCTGACGATACACAAAGAGTGAGAACACCCCCAGCACCATCATCATCATCAGCGTGCTGCTGTCAAACTCCCCACTGGGTTCGAACGTGTGGCGACTCTCACAGAGTGACGATGTCTTATCGGTGAAAGTGCCCCCACCGCCCCCTCTGAGAATGGGTGAAGAACACTGCCGGCCTAGGTGATGGCACGAGCCGCTATTGTCAGATTTGCAGGACGACTGCGGTCACTGCGGTCACGCACGGGGGCACTGCTCCCGCCCACACTCGTGGGTCCACCAACAGTCACGCACACTCACATACTCACACACACACTCACACACTTACTCACGCACTCACACACTCACACACTCACTCGCTCACTCACTCACTCACACGCTCACTCACTCGCTCACTCACTCACACGCTCACACTCTTACACACTCACTCACTTGCTCACTCACTCACTTGCTCACCCACATACTCACACACTCACTCACCCACACTGACTCAAGAGGGCATCACCTTTCCCGCCTGGATCTCTTGCCTGACATTACAATCCGGTTCTATTGCTTGCGGTGATGCACATGCAACCTGGGGGCTATCCAACCTACAAAAACGAACACATAATCAACCTCAGTGCCTGATGCGCATCACTTGAATTAATTGTAGTTTAAAAAATATTATTATCATCATCAGTTTTTTTGAGAAATTAATGGAAACAATCCTAGGACAGCGATTGTGTCCCACCTCAAGCAATGGTGCCCACGAGCCGATATCCCTTCTGGATGGCAACGTCTGCCACAGTTGTGCGGCGCTCAGAACGCGTCTTCGGGTCGTCGGGCACGCGGTGTCCGACGTTTCGTCTCACTTGCTGGGAGCTTTAACAGCGTCGATTCTGTTCCGTTCAACGTGAAAACACGCCGGTGGAAAAGGGCGCGGGGCAATTTTCAGAGGGGAGTCGAACGTGGACGGGCACCGTTCGACTCATATGCCGGGCGAGCCATTCCACGGCGGCGTCCCATCTCGTGCCGCGGCTTCGTTCGGGAATTCGTCGAAGCTTCGGAACGGCTGTCGAGGCCAAGAGAGCGTACGCGTGGCTGTGGTGACATCGTGACCCTAACTTCTACTCACAGCGCACGCGGGGCCTTTGGGAAGACAGTGGATTCGTTCACCGCACCGTGTGATGCTCCACAGATATGAGCAATAAAGATGATTAGAAAAATAATGTTGGTGTCAATTGTCACTGATTGAGCGTACACATCGAACACGAGTTGTTTTTGTTACGCTCAGACAGAAACTACGAATGTTCGGGCCCGCGGTGCCCTCTAAAGGCTGTACGCGATAAAAAAAAAAGTAAAAATAAAAACTGCGCTGCGTTGAGGAGTGGTGGCGCGGCGCAGCGCCGCTGTGAGACCCGGCCAGCCGAGTTCGATTACCGCCCACGGTCAACGTGAGTGGCGAGTGAGAATGTGAATTGGTCCCTGGCTCCATCTTCGCCAAACAACCAACCACGACCAATGGTGTTGGAGACCTTCATCCAACAGTCGATTGGCCATATAAGAGCCATATAAGGCGCCATATAAGGTGCCATATAAGGTGCCATTATCCTCGAGTGCTGCACTGCAATACAATCACAGGTCACGTGCGAAGCCACAACCGCTCGGATTTACCGCCCGGGGAAGTGCTCTGGTTGGTGAAAGGGAGAGACGACAGCGCGTTAGCCACCACTGATGTTAGCCGTGGGTTCGGAATCAAACTCAGTTCGCCCGATTTAAAGTGCAGCGTGCAAACCACGACGCCACTACTGCCCTTCCCCCCTGCCATCTTAAAAAGAAAATTGCAATGCATATTGTGAAAATATCTTTCGTCTGTATTGCTTGCGCCGATATGGGTGTGGAAATCCCTTGACATTGCAGTTATTTGATGGAGCGGAGATAGTGTGGGTGTGGAAATGCCTGCCAGACTGCGCTACTCGGCCACTTAAACTGTGATAAGAATGTGCGCGTGTGTGCGTATTCATCCTGACCCACAGAGGTGGCCGTGCGTGGTGCTGGTCACGCACCCCCTCGTTTACCGTTCCGGCCTTCATAGGTGCTACTCGCTAACAGCACTGGGAGGGGATATTCGCCTTTGTATTCTTTCCGTGGCAGTGTCTTGGTTGTTGGTGTCGTCTAGTTTTAATAAAATCGACCAAAGATTCTGTGGCGGGCCCTTGTGTGGACTGCGAAAGATCGTCACGACTCGACCGACAGCCACTGCAGTCATCCGAGCTCTCACGAGCCTAGGCCCGCATATAAAACGTGTTTAAAAATAACAGCGGTCGTAAGAATAATCATCATGCTACACCATTTATAAAAAAAACGGAAACAGCCACTGTGAGATGTACATGAAGGGAGTTTAACTGATATATATATAATATATAACAAAGGAAGTCGAACAAGGTGAAACGCTTTCGTCAAGTTTTTTCCAACGGCGTTCGAAATTTTTTTTCCTTTGGTTCCAAAATATTTCGTATTTTTTTTTATTGGAGTAATCAAGGCGGAAGAGTGCGCGGGGAAGACGTTCGATTCGAGTATAAGCGAGTCACAGTTGGCTGATTTGCACTGCTGCCATAAACTCAACTATTTCGTTTAATTTTTATTTGACCAGGTGTAAGGCCCGCTGTGCTACGTAGCTACCTGGCCACGAATGATAGCTCAACGAAGTGGCGTGTCATCATCATCATCATCACCACCACCACGTCGGAATGTATCGCAGCCAAATACTCTAAACGCGTGCTACTAAAATGGAGGGAGAAACCGCACGATCCGGAGAAAAATCCACGCGATCACTGAGACAGAGAGAGAGACGCAAACTCCAAAAATACAGCAGGCGTTAGGGTCAGGATCGAATCCACGACCTCCTGTAGACCAGGCGAGGTAGTTAACTGGAGCGATGCGCTTTAACATCGAGATGGAAAGCTAATTTCTTTAGAACTTGATTTTGTGTTTAGTTTGTTGTCCTTCCCCCGCACCTCCGATTATCGCGGTTGGCTACGTACGGTGCCAAAGAAATGCGACATACGTACTGTACATACAAGGTCGCAGCACCTCACTGTGACATTCGTCCACCTCCTAGACGACACAGGTGGTGTAACCACGAACCGCATCATCAGAACATCATCATCAGGCCGACAAGCACCGCATCTCCTTCATGGATGGATTTTTTATTTTATTTTAAAGACGCAAGCTACAGGAGTGCGACTGTGAGCACGTAAACTCAAACGATGGACTGGAGAGTTAAGACCACTGGCGCCTGCTGAAGGTGGGAACACACCCCAGGAGGGCATTCGCCGTATTTGCGTTGGACTTCTCTCGCACCGTACGTAGCCAGCCGCGCTCGTCGGTGGTGCTGTGCAGATGGAGAGGTGAAGTGCACGCAGGACGACGACGAGAGGGAGCCACGACTTGCGGAAGGCCTTCGTCCAGCAGTGGATTTAGCGTGGATGACGATGCTATCCGATGGCGTGCGCGACTGCCTCGTTTGCAGTGGAAACAATTCCATCGACCTTTTTCGTACGTTAATAGAATGGTATCGATGCCAATGATCTCTGAAGCTCAAACCACACAAAATGTCACGAAAGAATGACAGTTGCACATTGTTGGCATTCGTCCACACAATCTCCACGCGCTTTCTCAACTTGGAGACGGTTGAGAAATGCAATCTCCCACCCACCCCCTCCACCACCGCCCACCTCCGACTCGTCTCACAATGTCCTAGGCCCGAATGTATGAACAGACAGAGATGACGATGATTATATAAATATATATAAGGGGGGGCGGCAGTGGCCCCGGGGGGAGATACCGGAGGTGTTCCTCAGACCGTCTCTATTCGCCGAGTTCACCTCGCGCGCGTGCGCTTCCCTAGCGGACATCGCCTAGCAGCCGGCAACCATGCCCATCGAAGACACGGGGAGCAAGCCGGACTTCTCGGACGAGGAGAAGAAGGCCATTAAGGACTCGTGGAGCGGCGTCTACTCCGAATACGAGTCGGCGAGCTCTGAGATACTCATTAAGTAAGCCCAAACGCTCTCGCACCCTCGGCAAGCGCGGTGCCGTCGGTCTGTTTGTGATGTGCGCTGGAGGAAATCGAGGTGAACTCCACGGTTATTGTTTTTGCTCGCACGCGTCCAGTGCAGGGGCGGGTAAGAACGTTATTACAATACGATCGGAGTGAAAACTATAGGAAAGGTAAGCACATCACTTAATATACAAATTAAACTAAGCATATCTTTTTAAAAAAACTTGCAAAAAAAAAGCTCGCTGACATATATATTCGCATCATTTTAAGAAGCTATCTGGCCACGAATCATAGCTCAAACGAAGTGGCTTATCACGTGGACATTTACAGCGTCCGGAGGATTTTGTTGATTTTTTTGTTGTTGTCGACGTGGATTCTAAATATCGGAGCCGAGTGTCCCCTGGTGGAGTGCGGCGCTCCAGGGGGTGATGGCGGTTCGCGCCGTACACGAGACGGCCGATGGCTTTGGTCGAGGCGCGCAAGAGGGCACACCTCGGATCTGAGAGCGAAACAGGAGGAGGATTACTCCATAACCTTGTGCCTGACGACGCTGCTTGCAATTACCGGCGAAACGTCGTACTCGAATTGTAAATTCCGTGGGTTTGATCTCCGACGCACCGGTGTGCTGTACCAGTAACGAATCGGCACGTTTTGTTAACGCGACAAACCTCTCGCTGATTGGCTGTGTCGGGTGGTGGCGGGTTTAACGACGCACGTACACATTGACGCGATCTAACCGCAAACAACACCGCCTCCATCGTGGAGTGCCTCTCTCGTTGCAATCGCTTTGCCCGCTGCGCCTAAGCCGCGCGCCGCCCCCGCGAACCCCGCGAGGGAAGGCGGCGAATCGCCTGGAACGGCTGAAGCCCTGGAAGGTGTCCGCAGAGAGGCGGCATCCACGGATTGACGAAAGCGATCGCGACTCGGGGGACGAGTGAGCTGCGTGGCTAAATGTTGGGGGGGCGGTGGTGGTGGTGGTGGGGGGGGGGGGGGGTGGTAGGGGGGTGGGGGTGGGTGGGGGTGATGATGGGTGGTGGGGAGGTCGTGGGAGAGTGGTGGGGGGGGGTGGTGGGGGGTGGTGGAGGTGGTGGTGAGGGGGTGGGGGGTGGTAGGGGTGGTGGTGAGGAGGTGGGGGGGGGAGTGTGGGGGGTGGTGGGGGTGGTGGTGAGGAGGTGGGGGGGGGGGGGGGTGGGGGTGGTGGGGGGGTGGTGGTGGGGGGGGGGGGGGGTGGGGGGGGGTAGTGGGGATTGTGGTGAGGGGGTGGTGGGGGTGAGGAGGTGGGGGGTGGTTAGGGGGTGGGGGGGGTGGTGGAGGGTGGTGGGGGTGGTGGTGAGGGGGTGGTGGGGGGTCGTGGGGGTGGTGGTGAGGGGGTGGTGGTGGTGAGGAGGTGGTGGGGGTGGTGAGGGGGTGGTGAGGGAGTGGTGGTGGGGTGGTGGTGAGGAGGTGGGGGGGGGGGTGGTGCTTTCTGTGACGCGCGACGGACGCATTCGCAGCCGTCGTGGTTGAGTCTTGGGCGAACGAATAATCTCGATTTGTGTGATTGGCGAAGTTGTTGTTGTTGTTGTTGTCGTCTCGATGTCGAGACACGCGGAGGCTTTGAGAGCCGGGACAGGCGCGATACACTCCGAGCAATGCGCGGTTTCTGTATACCCAGCTTAGGCTGTTGTGTAATTGCAATGCTTCATCCACGGTAAGACGGTGCTTTAATCTTCCTCTTCTTCTTAGCAGCGGTCATTGGCGTGGTCGTCGAGTTTGCCCTTAATCTGCATCGAGCACGTGCTGCCTTACACAGGGCGATCTTCTTCTCCTGTGCGCGTGGAGAATCGTTGGGGCCGCAACACGTGACTTGCCCCGGGTGGAGTAGGGGGAGCATGGTCATCCGTGGGGCCTCGATGAGTTTCTTCTTCTTCTTCTTGATCTTCTCCTCCTCCTTCTTCTTCTTCTTGACGAACGCACAGCGAGGTGGTTGGGCGAGGCAGCTGCGTCAGGAGTAGCCGAGCGGATCGCCGTGATTGTAACACCGCCGCGGCCTTCCAATCTTTTTGTTTTATAAATTCACGCTGCACCCACCCGTTCTGTTCTCCAGCGCACACTGCCGGTAGATGTTTAAATGTCGCGTTCTTTAACAACGGCTGGTAACCACGTGGAACATCGTGCCATTTGCGAGAGTCCATATGCTGGATCTGGTATGCACGCAGTCAATTCTCGATGCTGCAAATGTGCCGCGATTTCATTCGTTTTGTAGTTCGAATGTCATGCGCTGTGAACCCCGTCACCCGAGTTCGATCCCCCGGTCATGGCTCACATCCGTGGCGAGTGCTACATGATCACTGTTCACCACCGATAACCCTAAATAGAAAACTTGTTCCTTTAGAACTGCGTCATGCCTTCAGTTGGTTGTCCTTCGCCGGCATTTCCCGATGAGCGCGGTTGGCTACGTACGGTGCGAAAGAAGTTCAACAAAGCATAGCCGTAGACACATCGGCAGTGGGTGTCACATTCCGCGTGTGCATCGCCGCCTGAGCGCTTTGCGCTCTCTCTCTCGTCAGGTTCTTCGTGGACAATCCATCCGCGCAGGACTTCTTTCCCAAGTTCAAGGACCTGGACTCGGAGGAGAAGCTCAAGAACTCCACGGCGGTGCGCTGGCACGCCGAGAGGATCATCAACGCCGTCAACGACGTCATCTGGCTCCTGGACGAGCCCGAAAAGAACGCCAAGAATCTGAAGGAGCTGAGCGAGAAGCACGCGGTGCAGCTCAACGTCGATGCCAAGTTCTTCAAGGTGCGTTGAGCAGCAAGCAGTGCTTCGGTTTGGGGAGGGCGATAGGCCCACGCACTCCACGCACATCAAGCACACCAAGCACCTCAAGCACCCCACGCACCCCAAGCACACCAATCACCCCAAGCACACCAACCACCCCAATCACCCCAATCACCCCAAGCACACCAACCACCCCAATCACCCCAAGCACCCCACGCACCCCAATCACCCCACGCACATATTTGTCGAGGTGTAGAATGACGAACAGCCCCGTCGGGTTTGCCGCACGGCCCCGAGCGTTTGACGCAGCTCCGTGGTCGTCACGTGGCCTGGCCGGTCCACGTGGGGCGACGAGACGACGATTTGAAAGCGTCGCAATATGACGCCCAACGACATTTGGCGACTCAAAACGACTCGGATCTGTCCCACAACAGCAGCTGCCCTTACAGTCGGTGCTGACCCGCCGGTGTTGTAGCTTTCGATCCAAGCGTCGGGATGTTCAACCATCGTTGCTCGCACATGTCCTTAGAAAAGTGGCGTTTCTGAGAGCAACTACTTGCTGGAAATTATGTTCAGAATGTCCGCAGGCATTATGACATTCATGCAAAATAATAGAGCACATTGCAGGGCACTGAGAGTTCACAAGCAGAATGTTTATTTATCCTGGTGCAATCCGATGAGCTATGAAGCTCTTTTTCACGGATGTCCAGGAGTTGTACTATTGTAATATACAATGGAATTTGGGCTTATTTTGTGTCTAAATGGCCATGTGCATGACGAGTGAAAAGTTGGCATATACACGCGCTTCGTTTGCTGTGTATATTTGCAGAGGAGATGCGTTCTATGTTGAGGTACGTACTGTAGCTTCCATTGGAAGTCTAATTTGCATTGCTGCGTGCAATTTAAGATAATCTTTTTTTATTGCTTTGTTATTTTACAAAGGTAAACATCATTAGACCCCCTTTGCCAGCACCAAAATATAATAATAGGGGTTTTTCCATTTTTTCTGGCAACAAAACTGAAACCTTTTTAGCAGGAATCATGTTGCTGCATTAACCACAATACTTGTGGTCAACTACCAGCAAAGGAGGTCTAATGATGTAGATGCCTTACCCCGAGCCCTCATTACTCTGATAGTGGCATTGTCTTTGATCTGCACGCCGTTTGGCGTCCTCTGGTCTTGCACCAATTGAGACGAGGCTCTAAAGAAAGCCGTCTCTGGTGTGGACCAATCAGTTTCATGGACAATGCATACATTATCAGTGTGTTTTTTTAACATCATTAGACCTCCTTTGCCAGTACCAAAATGTAGTAATAGGGGTTTTCCCCTTTTTTTGGCGTCATCTGGTCGAGCACCAATTGGGTCGAGGCTCAAAAGAAAGCCGTCTCTTGGTGTGGACCAATCAGTTTCAAGGACAATGCATCATATTATCATAGTATGTTTTTTGTTTGCATTTTGACTGCAGGTATTGTGGTTAATGCAGACATGAATCCTTGTAAAAAGGTTTCAGTTTTGTTGCCAGAAAAAGGGGAAAACCCCTATTATTACAGTGTGGTATTTTTGCATTTTGACCACAAGTATTGTGGTTAATGCAGACATGATTCATCGTAAAAAGATTTATTGCAAGAAAAAAGAAGAAAACCCCTCTTATTAAAGGTGAACACGCTTATCAGTTTACACGCATCCTTTACACGCCTCTGCACTATCGCCTGGTCCATCAACAGGGACTTCACGCCGCCCTTAAACGACTGCCAAGTGCGTGGTTTATTTGAAACCTGGACAATTGTTGTCGATTTTAACGCAGTTCAGCGTGAATGCTGTTGGCATCAGCGCGGGGTATTCGTGACGTCGTTTTTGCTGCACACATCGAGAGCCACTGGGAAGGCCACCCGGGTGGCACGGTGGTAACGCTTCCGCGTCACAGCGAGAAGGGCACAAGCTCGTTTCCGAACACGGCCATGGAGTTTGTGCATTCAGTGCGCGTGGAGTTTGTGCGTTCTGTGTGCGTGGAGTTTGTGCGTTCCGTGTGCATGGAGTTTGTCGTTCTGTGTGCGTGGAGTTTGTGCGTTCTGTGTGCGTGGAAATTGTGCGTTCTGTGTGCATGGAGTTTGTGCGTTCTGTGTGCATGGAGTTTGTCGTTCTGTGTGCGTGGAGTTTGTGCGTTCTGTGTGCGTGGAGATTGTGCGTTCTGTGTGCATGGAGTTTGTGCGTTCTGTGTGCGTGGAGATTGTGCGTTCTGTGTGCATGGAGTTTGTGCGTTCTGTGTGCATGGAGTTTGTGCGTTCTGTGTGCGTGGAGTTTGTGCGTTCTGTGTGCGTGGAGTTTGTGCGCTCTGTGTGCGTGGAGTTTGTACGTTCTGTGTGCATGGAGTTTGTACGTTCTGTGTGCGTGGAGTTTGTGCGTTCTGTGTGCGTGGAGTTTGTGCGTTCTGTGTGCATGGAGTTTGTGCGTTCAGTGCGCATGGAATTTGTGCGTTCTGTGTGCATGGAGTTTGTACGTTCTGTGTGCGTGGAGTTTGTGCGTTCAGTGCGCATGGAGTTTGTGCGTTCTGTGTGCATGGAGTTTGTACGTTCTGTGTGCATGGAGTTTGTGCGTTCTGTGTGTATGGAGTTTGTGCGTTCTGTGTGCATGGAGTTTGTGCGTTCTGTGTGCATGGAGTTTGTGCGTTCTGTGTGTATGGAGTTTGTGCGTTCTGTGTGCATGGAGTTTGTACGTTCTGTGTGCATGGAGTTTATGCGTTCTGTGTGCGTGGAGTTTGTCCGTTCTGTGTGCGTGGAGTTTGTGCGTTCTGTGTGCATGGAGTTGTACGTTCTGTGTGCATGGAGTTTGTGCGTTCTGTGTGCGTGGAGTTTGTGCGTTCTGTGTGCGTGGAGTTTGTGCGTTCTGTGTGCATGGAGTTTGTACGTTCTGTGTGCGTGGAGTTGTGCGTTCTGTGTGTATGGAGTTTGTGCGTTCTGTGTGCATGGAGTTTGTGCGTTCTGTGTGCATGGAGTTTGTGCGTTCTGTGTGCGTGGAGTTTGTGCGTTCTGTGTGCGGGAAGTTTGTGCGTTCTGTGTGCATGGAGTTTGTACGTTCTGTGTGCATGGAGTTTGTGCGTTCTGTGTGCGTGGAGTTTGTGCGTTCTGTGTGCGTGGAGTTTGTGCGTTCTGTGTGCATGGAATTGTACGTTCTGTGTGCATGGAGTTTGTGCGTTCTATGTGCGTGGAGTTTGTACGTTCTGTGTGCGTGGAGTTTGTGCGTTCTGTGTGTATGGAGTTTGTGCGTTCTGTGTGCGTGGAATTTGTGCGTTCTGTGTGTATGGAGTTTGTGCGTTCTGTGTGCATGGAGTTTGTGCGTTCAGTGCGCATGGAATTTGTGCGTTCTGTGTGCGTGGAGTTTGTGCGTTCTGTGTGCGTGGAGTTTGTACGTTATGTGTGCGTGGAGTTTGTACGTTCTGTGTGTATGGAGTTTGTGCGTTCTGTGTGCACGGAGTTTGTGCGTTATGTGTGCGTGGAGTTTGTACGTTCTGTGTGCACGGAGTTTGTGCGTTCAGTGCGCATGGAGTTTGTACGTTCTGTGTGCGTGGAGTTTGTGCGTTCTGTGTGCGTGGAGTTTGTACGTTCTGTGTGCATGGAGTTTGTGCGTTCTCCCCCCTGATATTATAAGTTGCAAACTAAGCTTGCAACTTATAATCTCGGTTGTCATTTGGAAGAAAAAAAAGTTGTACCCACAAAATGCGCACATACCAATCATCCCCCTCCTACCGGCAGACCGATGTCTGTGACCTTGCTATCGATGAGTTATGAAGCTCATTATTTTTTACAGATCTCCAGTAGGTTCACAAAATGTATATAACTCTCTGGAACTCCTCTCGAGTGCAGAACCCTTCTGCCAGGCGTGGCGTGAGCGAGTAATTGCAGAGCTGCGCCTTTATCTCTTTTTTAAAGACCCTAAACTTAACATTTCCCTGCGTGTGTTTTTTTTAAATTCCAGGTCCTGGCTGAGCTGATCCTGGACAAGGTGGCAGAGAAGAGCGGCGACTCCTTCTCGGACAGCGCTCGCTCTGCGTGGGAGAAGCTGCTGACCTACATCTGCATCAGCCTCAAAGTCGCCTACTAAAAATACATGTCGCTTTTCAAATAAAATGCAAGTCAAATTCCTGCTCAAACGAGCAGCAGATAACCACACAACACCCACGTACATGCTACGTGCAAAATCTTAGAATGTTGGTGCTTAAATTACAGAAATAAAGATGCATTCGAGGTTTTAAAATAGACAATGATTTATAATTATTTCAAACCCATCCCCCCCACTTTTTAAATTCAGATAGATGTCCAAATATTGACGTGAAATAAATGGCAGTTAATGAGTTGGCATCAGAGCGCAAAGTGAGCTCCACGCTCCCACCGTCGAAAAGATTACGTCTTGTTCATTCAATCACCGGTCCTAATAAAATTACGTTTTAAGATAAAAGCGTGGTCACTGCAGGGTTGTTCGTCACAATTAGGCTTGCATGAGTCACGTTATATAATTTTGCTTGTGGAGGAATTTGTGACTATTTAGTAAACTACAAGAGCTGTCCTATGAAATGCATCCTTGGCGTAGCTCTATGCAAAATGAGTGGCAAGCCCGTTGGGATTGAAGTAATCAATGATGTAATTAAGATTTGAAGTCGTCGTGACTGCAGGGATCCATGCCAAAGAGTAATGACTGCAGGGATCCATACCAAAGAGTAATGATTTAATTACCACTTTGAGGGCTCACATGTAACCTGTCACCCTCCCGTCCGCATCATACGAGACCCCCCCCCCCGCACCCCTCCCTCCCTGCTGGACATCCGTGAGCCTACCGAACATCTGTAACAAAAAAGAGCTTCATAGTTCATCGGATTTCTCCAGGTTGAATAAAGATTCAGATTTTTCTCCCAAACCGCGCGCGTCTATCTGTTGTACGATTTTAAATCTGGATTAGCATCACGCGCCACGTTATTGTAAATAACAGAGCGGATAAGCAGGCCCCGGGAGGCGATAAAAGCCAAAAAATCCAATCAAAGGTGCGACTGGTTTCCCGTAATTTCGATCTCGTTTTTTCCATAAACTGCACACCACTATCCTGACGACGGCTCCTCGCTCATTGACACTGGTGCAGCAGCAGCAGCAGCAGTCGAGAGAGAGAGAGAGTCCTCACGACACGTATGTAAAAGGAGTTTTCCAGGCGGATGAGTCCCGTCGACTCGGGAGCTCCTAAAACCAAACCACTCTCGAGTTGCCGTCAACACTTGGACATGTAGGGGACCGCAGAGCTCTGGAAACTGTTGGTGCCGCTCGTCTGTCGTTCCTCCTCGCACCTCCAAGTCACTCTCTCTCGCCGAGAGTCAGTGACTTACGTGCAGTGACCATGATTATTTTCATTAATCAACAGGAACATGATTATTATCATTAATCAATTAGAAAATGTACAAAAATGGTGGCTAGTATTGTTCATAAACGTTAGACACGAAAAAATTCCGTTCGCCACTACGTGGCGGTGACGTTCCCACGGCGTTCGTGCCAGACTAGGTGCATTTTAAGACCACGTGAAGTGTTGTAGGCTCCCTGGCGTTGGTCACGAGACTGACCCAGGTGACAATGGTTGACTGCCTTTTATCCGCCCGGAGCTCCAGTCGTTGTTGTGAGCGTCGCTCCTATGCCCTCCGCAGTTGTTGGAGGGCGACTCCCTCCAACTGCCCAGTAGCGGTGTCCTTCAGAGGCCGATCTTAACACCGCTAGTACCCTACATCGGAAAATCAAATCATCTCCACCTCCTCTTGTACCACATCAGCTCCATCTCTTTTTTAGCTACGTGGCCCAGCCAACACATCCTCGCCTGCTAGAGGAGATCACTTGTGGAATTGTGTCTGGATCTTTCACACACTTCATTCTTGTCCAACCCAGGATGGATCATGGGCAAGCCAGCCTGAATATTACGAAACGGTGCAGATGTTCAGATGTTCCTTTCAAGGGGTCCACGTTTTGCAAGCATCGAGGAGGTCCACGACTTGCAAGCATCGAGAAGGGAGGGCATCAGTCCCGGATTAAGCTAGTGCGGGGCCTGTAGTATATAATTTAAAGTGGCTTTAAATAAAGTAAAAAAACACATAAATATTAATACACAAATTTTTTACTCGCATAGTAAAGTAATTGTTTTTTGCATTTGCTATACAGCCAGATAATACGGCAAATCGCTAACCTTAAACACCCAGTCGCCCATAAAAGTTGAAGGCAGTGTAGTACTATAGTAATAGAGCAAGTGCAGAATCACAGAACCTGAATTGATAGCTTGAAAGCATTTAGCGCGGGGCCCTTGGAAGTGCGGGGTCCGTAGCTACTACAATATGTAGTTATAACCTATGTAGCTACTACATGTGTTGCTACTACATATGTAGCTACTACATGTGTAGCTACTACATGTGTAGTAGCTACTAAATGTGTAGTAGCTACTACATATGTAGCTACTACATGTGTAGCTACTACATGTGTAGCTACTAAATGTGTAGCTACTACAATATGTAGCTACTACATATGTAGCTACTACATGTGTAGCTACTTTTGCTACTGGGATATTCCGACACTGGAGGGCATAGCTGTGGCTGAGAAAACACCTGACACTTCATATGGAGCAATAGGCCGTATTGCATGTGGATAGGAGCACAGTGAGGCCGCATCGGACAGACGCCTGAGCTGTGATACTCATCAGAGTCGCGTGATGAAGTTGCACCGAACTGCTCCGATGACTGTTCAGATTAGGAAAAAAAAATTAGAGAGATAATCGTCGACATTTCAGGCAATAGCAGATGTGCTATGAAGAAGGGCCATTTCCCGAAACGTTTATATATCCTCGGTTTTATTGAAAGGCAGTGATATTGACGAGTGTGTTGAGTTCGTGTTGGTAACTATGCCTGTGCATCACCAGACACTGCACTCGGTGAGATGGGCAAACAGGAAAGTTTCACTCTTTGGTTCTTTCGGTAAAGTAACGTAGAAATAAAATGTTGTTCTACCTGACGACGGCTGCTTGTGTTGTAATCGAAACGTCGTATTTTATTACTGTATTTATTTTCTTTCCACGTGACTTTACCGCAAGAACCAAAGAGTAATTCCTGCAGTCACGAAAGCTTCAAATCAGGAAAGTTTGAGCCCAGCAAAAGATGAGACGCCTCGAATCGACGGACTCCGGATTGGTTCGAGACTTTAATTGTGAAATCAGTGGCATTGAAGACGAAGAGCGCGAATGGGGTTGCCAACATCAGCACAGGGGAGATCAAGATGACTGCGCGTGGTTCCGGCCACACCATTCTCTCATAGGCCGTGCTGGGCTGACTAGGCACTCACGTAATATTGCCCCGAGAGTCGTCTGCGTGCGTGTGTGTTTGTCTTTGTGTGTGTGTGTTAAGTGCACCTGGCCTGGCACTAAAAGCCGTGGTGACGTCGCAGCCACTTAGTGGCGAATAGCGGCTGTTGTCATTGTTGTTGTGTTAGGGCGCATCAAGCGCTAAATTGACTATTTTCGAATATGCAAATCGTTTTTTTATGCACTGACAGCCCCCATCAGCTTGCGTACCGCTTGTGAACTTCCGAGGACGAACGCATCTTGGACGGCGTTGTAGAATCCATGGGAACGCATGGGTTTTCTACCCTGTTCATCTCCTAGAGCAGGGCGTGTGCGTAAGGTGTAACCCTTTAATATGCAAATTTGAGCTCAATGCAAATTAGACTGAGAAATTTTGCCCACGAAGCTTTGACGTCAACCGTGAAGTCTTTTCCAGAAGTCTCCTCCAGGTACGCCAGGATGATGAGAGATATCTCCTGTGAAGCGAGAGAGACAGGGGAGGGAGGCAGAGGCGCCTACAGGCCCTGAAGAATCACAGCCCACGGATGGGGCCGTCGGTGCAATGGACGCTCATGGGCGAGATAACCACATACAGCACAACGTGACTTCTTTCGTGCGAAATTCCAGACCTCGGGTGCCGAGGCCAGTTTCCACATTCGCTCAGGATGACTGCTATAGGCGTGGACGATGCGAGCAAATAACGTAGCTGTGGCGTCACTTGAAACGAACTGGAATGATTTGGTAACGCACCCTATCGCAGCACGTATCGTATGGCGCGCATGCGTGCCGTGGCGGATAGCAGCGCTGCGCCACGAACCCGGCGACCCGAGTTCGGTCCCCGCTCACGGTTCGATGCCACGGTGACGATGATCTGAACCGGTCCTGTGCCTCCCCAGGTGCTCAGCCTGGTGCGGTGTGTAAAATCATCGCCGCTGGTGAGACAAAGGCGGTTTGGGCGCGGTTGCTGGCCACTCACCTCCTTCGTGTACCGTGCCGGCCTTCATAGGTGCTCGCTAACAGCACTTGCCCCAACATCTCTGCTAAGTCTGCACGGGGGATCTTTGTGTTTGTGCCACATTGCATACGGACTCGTTAAGACGCACCAGTAAACGTGAGTGCGTGAATGAAAGGGTGCTGGGTACTGTGCTCGTAAAACGATTGGCGACTGCCCTGATAGCCCGGCCCTAAGGCCTGGCCTCAATCAATCAACACAGACACGCGTGAACATACATACATGAACATATATCGCACAGCTACTCTCTCTACATTATGCCAAATCCATCAGCATTTTCCTCAAGAAGTGCACAAAAATAACAAGAATGCAGTGATTTCATTCCACATAGCGGCATTCGTGCTAATTGCATCCCACAACGTTGTACATTTTATATATAAATACATTTCAGCAAATGTGATCGACCGACAGCAGCAGCAGCAGCGATGCAGAGAGAGTCAACTGTGGACCGGTTTCATTCTCGTTGGGACTCATCAGCACGGCAGAGTCACCAGGGCTGACAATTAAAAAAGTCTGCCTCAGCAAAGCGCAGTCGTGGAAGTCCCCGCGTGCACCGCTGTGCATCGCCTCGTTGGGCCCCTGCGATTGAGGTCCTCCTGGAGCGGGGGTGGGGGGGCGGGTGGATGGGTGGGGGTGGAGGGGGGCAGGTGATGGGGTGGATGGGTGGGGAGGGTAGGTGGGGGGGTGGATGGGTGGTGGGGGGTAGGTGGGGTAGTGGATGGGTGGGGAGGGTAGGTGGGGGGGTGGATGGGTGGGGCAGGGAAGGTGGGGGGGTGGATGGGTGGTGGGGGGGTAGGTGGGTGGATGGGCACGTGTGTGGGGGAGTGGATGGGTGGGGGGTGGAGGGGGGTAGGTGGGGGGGGGTGGATGGGTGGTGGGGGGGCGTGTGTAGGGGGGGGGTGGCACCTTAAAGAACTGCGGCTCTACGTTGAACTCCGTGGCGTGCCTCTGGCTCAGCTGCCTCAGGCGCAGCCTCTGCATGGCCGGTACGTCCAGCTCCTCGACGGCGTCGTTGATGGCGTTGATGATCCTCTCGCCGTGCCAGCGCAGCGCCGGGGACTTCCTCATGCTCTCCGTCGTGCGCAGCTCGCGGAACTTGGGGAAGAACTCCTTGACGCCCGGGTGACTCACAAACAGCCTGGGCCATCGGGCAGAGGGACCGGCGGCGCTTCGTCCATCAGACACACGCGACTCCCGAAGTGTTGCTGCTTGCCTGCTGTTTGTTGTTGTAACGTTCTGACCCCCGTGCCCCTAATGGACACCTGTGGGGGTAAAAAAAAGAGCTTCATAGCTCATCGGATTCCTCGCGCAGTGTAAATAAATAAATAAATACTCTGATTCTGACATTGTGTGGCGAAGCTGCTGGTGCACTGGCTTTTCACGTGATTTCGTTGAAACCACAAATTTAATGCGATGCGTTTTTTGTTGTTGTTGTGCAGTTGTCAGCAGAGACTATCAACTGGCTACACGTGCTGCGTGCCACCAGCCATCCGGCCACCTGCGTCTGAATTCATGTCGTGATGACTTTGTCCGAACACGCATAATTCGATACACAGCGTGTTAAAAACAGCAAACCATAGCAAACGCTATTACAGCATGCATTTTCAAGTGAGTGCATATTTGAACGTACAGCCCTCCAACATAACCATACCCCGGATTTTAATAGAAGCCGTGTGTATACATTGCATCGCAATCTTAACTCACATTACGATGCGCACTGATGGTCAACGCGTGGAGAGGGTAACGCTAGACACAGCAAGCCGACCATGTAGGAGTCGACTGCTGTCACAGTTGCTAAGTGCAGGCGCGTGCCGTGCGGCTCCGGGCCAGGCAACCAGCGAGCTCCATTCTCGCCTTTTGAGGTTTCGTAATTGTAGGTGACACGGATCGTGTCGCGACTTAATTGGAGTACAACGGCAAGCGGAGGCGGTGTTGCGACGTGCGGTGCATCGGTGATAGCAGCTGGGCCGTCTCCCAGACCCTGCTGCCAGAGGGAAGGCTGCGATGACATTTCAATACGTGGGGCTTTCGCGACCCAACGTCATCCACAGTGGACACCGTTGACTGGAAAAACCCTTGGGTGGCGCTCACCGCTTACCGGAAAACTGGAGCCACACGGCAAGCATCGGAAACGCAACGCGGTGTCACCGGTGCAGTCCAGACTCTCCCCACCCCCCCCCCCCCCCCCCCCCGTGTCTGCAGGCAACAGCGTTGGCAGGCGAGAGACAGAGAGAGACACACACGGCACGCACGTACCTCGAGAGAATGGCAACGCCTGCGTCCTCGTACTTTTCGTAAACGTTCTTCCATATCGTACGAATCGCCGCCTTCTCGTCGCTGGAAAAGTCGCTCACTTGGCCCGAGTCTTGAATGGACATGGTAGCGGCGGCAGAGGAAGAGAGAGACGCTGGGGGTGACGGAGGAGACAGAGGAGGTGGCGGCGGTCGGTCAGTTGTTGTTGTTGAGGATCGGGAGAGATGTTGTGTCGCTCATGGGGCCACGGCTTGCAGAAGATTTGACGACTGCGAGCATCACGCGCGCGCACCAACCACCGCAGCACTTCTTGCCAAATCGCCCTCCGAGATTTTGCAATGAGCGTGGTTCCTTTGCCGCCGAGAGAGATTGAGTCCCACTGATCATATCTGGATTCAAGTTAACGACGTCCAGTTCGCTTAGATGGCGGTATCCGTTGTGTCTAAAGTAACACGAAAACACGTACGGATGGCACCGTCTCCCACTCAATGCTAATGTGGTTGCGAGCATATTTCCGTCAATGGAGACTCCGACCAAATCCATCGAAATCAACCAATAATCAATCGCTTTCCATCGAAACAGTCGTGCAGTAGACGCCACCCTTGAAGCCTCTTCCCGTGGTAGCCCAGTTCGCTGTGACCCCGCTCATGGAGATCTAGGGGGGTTGATCGTGGACAGAAGATTGACCTTCAAGCCCAACATTCAAAACAGATCGGTGAACAGACCAGATCGAGAGTCGCCCTGCTCGAGAAACTTGCAGGAATGACCTGGGGCACCCCAGCTGACCTGCGCATGCCGCGCTCTCACCGATCTACGAAGTGGCAAGAGTCGCTCCAGCCCGCTCATGGAGCTCGTACGCAAAACTGATTTGATGCAACAATCCAGTAACCCGATGCGCATCATAACCAGAACACTGAAACCGACATCAATCCCCTGGCTCCCTGTGAACATTTCGTCAACAAATATCCGCAGAGACATGCACGCACGGCACGAACGTTTACAGTGGTTGTTGTTTTTTTTTTGCCAATGGGCGGATCAGAACATCGACAAACAACACCTCAATAAGGTACCTCGCCGCCGTCTCCGCTCTCTTTCTCTTTCCCAGGATGGCGCTGCCGTCACCATCCTAGAATCTCGCCCAGATCTGGGGAAAATGCGAGCGAACAGAGTGGAACAACGCAGACGTCCAGAATAAACACCTCAGTCGAGACCCGAACATCGCAACCTACTGGCTTTGACATTCCTCGCAGATACCGGTTTGACCATCAAGCACATCACAACATCGACAGATCTATGCGTGCGTCTCCTTCATGAATGGGAAGATTAAAGGCACGTCACAGGCGTGCGATTGTGGAACATGCAACCCAAACTATGGACCATTGCGCAAAACATTGCAGCGTGCACCCCTTCAAGGGAGGAATAACACAACTAGAGGCTAGCGGACTTCAACGTTGGCATCTAGTTCCTGAACACGTTGCCACACACAAGAAGCGCCCTCGAGAGATGGCGAGCCTGCTGAGATTAAAGATATGCGAAGACCCGTATAGAGAATCACGACTGCCCAGGTCTGTGCTCCTTTGGCAGACACGTGTAGTGGTCCACGTAGACCATACAGCTCTCCGTCCATTCTGATAAGGGAGTATGAAGAGGCAGCATTTTGAACTGCCGTGGTTGAAATGGTGGCAACATATTGCGAGTGTAATTTCCCTCTGGTGAAGCCGAGAATCTCGAGTGATCTTCAACGGCACAGAGCGGAAACATTCGAACCCATCTCCATACCTGTCAACCCCTTATCAGTGCCCTACCTTGTTACAGAACAATTCAGACCGCATTGGTCACCCCTGTGCCCCTTATAAATCTCAACGTTCATCCTACAAAGTCCCATCACAAGGGAGTAAACAGACAAACAGACAAATGTTTTGTTGTTAGCCCGTATTGAAACGGCTGTAGGCCGTATTGACCTGAAAACTCAATTTCCCTGACCAAGAATACGGGGTAAACCGTACGGGTTGACAGCTGTGAATCTCACAGCCGAGATGCCGGCAAACTCGCGGCTCGCTCTCACATCTCGATGCGTCGCTAAACGCCACGGCGAGCACGTGGCGGATTATCGGCACGCAGCACGTCAGATAACATCCTCATACGAGCACACGTAAGAGTCAGTGACGTGCGGTGAGGTCAATGGCTGGGGAAGCACTGGCTAGTGTCAGAGCCAGATTCAGACACTGAGGGGGGCGTGGCCTCACGGAGGGGGGCGTCTTCTCACTGAGGGGGGCGTGTTAGACACGTTACCCTCAGGGAGGCAGATGTGATCGCTGCCTCCCCTGGTGCATTTTCATTGCAGTTTCATGACGAGACCAGCGAGCCTAAATATCTTTATACACACACGTGAAATAAGTTACCTGGAATGTGGAAGGCGAGGACATGAAATGAAGGGGTCCACAAACATTACATTGGTGACATACTGAGATAGTAACAGGCACGCGCTTATTGTCCGCGCTCCATCCAGTTACTGAGGGGTTGCACAATCAGAGGGGAGGCTGAGCGCGTCGCTGCCTCACCTCTCGTCCCTTTCTGTATTTGCAGCGGAGCTCCGCAAATTTGGCGATTTTGGCTCTAAAAATGATTGGAATCGCACAGAAATGACATTTATAACACAGATCAGTGGAAAAATCTTAATGTTAATTTTATTTTATTTCGTAACAGCTATTTTCATTGGAGTATGACAGGTGAGGCTCTGCCTCCCCTGTGATCACATCCTAGCTCAATGTTGCGTCTAAGCAAAATGGTCTTTGAAACGTTTGATACCTTGATGGACACCCTGTATGTTGTTGATCATAACTCGCACAGCAGTTCATATGCCGAGTCTGTCTGTGAATGAACGAGACCTTCCTTCCGATATTAGGAAGCCACTGGAGCTATGCACGTTTGAATCTAGATTGAAAATTATTTTTTCGTGTGTTTAGTTTGTTGTCCTATTCCCCCGCACCCCAGTTTAGCGCGGTTGGCGACGTACGGTGCGAAAAAAGTTCAACATACATACATCTACAGGCAGAGGAAGCTGGACCCTGCAATGGGCTGTGAGGTGCTGGAGTTGAGGACGCTGCTCCATTCTGTCATAGGCTCCCGAACTCCACAGTCCTCTGGCCTCGTTCCAGCTCCATCTGTGCGTGTTGGCCAGTGTGAGCCTGAAACCGTGTGGGCTGTTTAAACGGCAAGCGGCAACATTGTCGCGAGGTCGCCCGGCTGGTAAACAACGGGAGGGGTGGACCAGATCGGAGCAAATGGGACTGGAGTTTGCCAATGTGTACACTCATGATCGGCAGGTTACGTGTGGTGGGGTACAATGTGGGCCCTCCAAACTCTTCCACAACGTCTGTCCGGCGTGAAAGAGCAGGCCAACATACCCTCGAGAGGAACTTCACACAGCGGCCTCTAGTGGATGTCCCTTCCACCAGCAGTGGCGTGAGCCCGCAATTGCAGGGCTGCGCCTTTAGCTGCATTAACACGGAACCGCCACCACACCTAAGCCGCTGTCCATGGTGGTGAGGCTTGCGACCCTCTTATAAACAACAGGTCGAACGGTGCTGTATAATATTGTATCAACACCATAGGAGAACTGACACAACACAACGCTTGAAGGAAGTCCGCAGTACTCGTGCGGACTGTTGTGGTGTTTGCACACAAACTCGTGTCGCTGCGCTGACGCTTTCGCGCGTTCAATTGCGCGACGCGGTCGGACCCGATCTCGATTGAGCAACCGCTGGGGCCCGTGACCAATTTCGCAACAACACCGCGCGCTGCGCGCTGGAGCTCAGCGAATGAGTTGCGCAAACTCCTACAGGGGCATGTGTGGACATCGAGCCCTCTGAGGTTCCTGACCAATAGAGGGCTGCTGTCGGCCCGTGGTTGGTCCCAAAGAGGGGGGGGGGGGGGGTGGGTCGCGTGCTCGAGGGCGCCGGGGTCTGTCCGAGCGTCGGGCTGCGAACTCGCCGCGTTGCAGCTACCAGCTCATGCAAAGTGGAGCTGTGTGGAGTCAGAACTCAATGCCTCGCCTGCCTCATAGTGGTAGGAAATTATGTAACAGTTTTATTAGATAAGCAGGCAATTATGTCTATTGATACAAATATAAAAGTATACCCATCGGACCCAGGGCATTCTGGGGGCGCTTCATTTCAGCAGCATTGATTCAGCAATTTCTGGACCGGTTTCGACACACAGTGTCTCATCAGCAGAGCCTGGCCTTGCTTTCATCAATGCTGGGGAACTGCCAGATGTTACAGGCGAATCCCTTCTCTTTAAACTATCGGCTCTCGTCCGATGCAAACTTATATAACACATAATAATGTACATTAGACATTCTTCAAATAAACTGGTGTAACCGTTAATCACATAAGAACATCAGCAGTCCGCTGTGAACATCTTCATGAATGGAACATTAATGACAAGACACGGTGTGGCTGTGGCTTAGCATCCCAAACTATGGCCCATGTAGTAAACCACTGTGGTCTGCGCGCCATCGACGGAATAGGAGGAACGGGCAAAACGACACGAACTCTCTCTCTCTCTCTTGAAGCCATCTCCTCGTGACCAGCAGACCTCGACATTGGCAACATCAGCTCCTGAGCGTAGTGCCACCATAGGCAAGAATATATTGGGGTCAAGTGAATGTAGCGACATCTAGAGGTCACGTGGTTACATCTCATACAGCATCAATGAATGAACAAAAATGCTCATTACACACGATTTCTCTGGATGTGTTTGGAAGAACGTGTTCCGTAATTTCGAATCCCTCAAAAAATAATAGATACATTTCTGATGTCTTTTTGTACTGTACTTTGCACTTCTGCATTTTGTGCTGTCTCCAATGTTGTACTCTTTCTCCTGTCTCACGTAAATATATATTGTATGAATCAAGGAAGCCTGCCTCTTGCTGATGACATTTGATCCTATCCTGTGAACATCTAACACAGAGAGATTCCTTGCCTATAAAATTCTGGCAGTTCACCAGCATTGTTTGAGGAGAACCTGACTGCTGATGAGACATGGAATGTTTACCACCGACCCAGAAGTTGCTTTTTTTGCTGCTGAAATTATACACTCCAGAGGTTCGTGGTCCACATCTGATAGGCCACCCTGGTTAATACTGCTGGGTGTATAAACCCCAAGAGTTCAAAGGAACTCACAAACACCTTGTGAAAGACCCAACGCAGAAGATCCTTGGGTTTGATCTTCCACGAATCGCATGGGCCACCTTAAACCACATCCACTGCACAAATCATGGCCGTAGATGCGGTTACCCTGATGCACAAATGGAAAATAAAAAAACTCTCCATTAGTGTGCGACTGTGGTCATGCAGAATAGACCGTGCATCGTACCACGACGCAATGCCCGATCCACCAATACGAAGGAGACATCGCAGTGTCTGGGCTTGACCACTTGAATGTTAAATTGTAGTCGTTGCTCTGCATCTACATCAGCAGCCATACGAAAGAAGAACCCTAAGAAAGGCGCCGTCCACTTCACAGGAGATATATTTTTTGGTTCTTTCGGTAAAGTCACGTAGATAGAAAACTAATAATAAAGTGAATAAAAATGTAAATAACAAACATAATAAGATTAAAAACCACGACGTTTCGATCGCAACACAAGCGGTCGTCATCAGGAAAAGGGGTTTAGCCTCTAAAGGCAAACTGTTTATAAAGGTTTAAAATGGGCGTAGCCCAAGTGTCAGAAGCATGGGCGGGGCAGCTAATGTTAATGTTAGTGGTGGACCAACGCCCCGCCCATGCTTCTGCCACTTGGGCTACGCCCATTTTAAACTTTTATAAACAGTTTGCCTTTAGATGCTAAACCCCTTTTCCTGATGACGACCGCTTGTGTTGCGATCGAAACGTCGTGGTTTTTTATTTTAATTTGTATTCACTTTATTATTATATTTCTTCTATCTACGTGACTTTACCGAAAGAACCAAAGAATATAGTTTTATAGTTTTTTCAGTTTCATTTATTTGGTATAGCCATGTGAGCCATTCGGCTCTTGAATCGGGTGCAACCGCAACAAACAAGAAAACAAAAACATGAACAAGAAAACATCTTAAAGTGACTTTGTGCATGTGCAAACAGAAAATCCAGGAAAAAAAAACATCAAAATATTCCTGAAATAGCACCGTACACCAACGCTGTGTGCAAAAATCCCAGTGGGATGCAAGTCAAACAGCAACAACAAGAAAACTTAGATTAAAGCCATCAGTCTAACTCCTTACTACAATAAACAAAAACATGGCCAAACCAAAAAACTTTTAGAAATCACCAAAATAAAACCATAAATGCAATGTAACATGAATTCCTGCAAGTCACGAAAGTTTTAAGTCAAAATTTCACAGGAGATGTTAAAGACTCGAAAACGAGTGGAGGTCATTGTGACCATCGTCGTGGTCCAAAACTTTTCAAACATTGGCACAAAATGACCCCCCCCAAAAAAAGTATCGAATAGTCAATACCGATGACGGCACACACAGCGGGCAATTGTCCCCCCCTCTCGGCATGTCTCTCCCCGTGGTCGCGTGGATTATTTTTTTGATCCGGGGTTTTCCCCTCCACATTTAGAAACGCGCATTGCGATTATTTATATGATTTTGGTGCTTACAAATGCCCCAATGTTTGGCCCACTTTGTTGAGCTTTCATTTGTGGCCAGGTCGCTTCTGAAAAAGAAGTTAATACCTCAGCGGGCTTTGCCTGTACAAACATGCATTAAGATAATTGAGATTATTTTGGTGCTAACAAACATGTTCCGATAACATATGCATTGCCTTTGCAGGTATTATAATATTATATAATATTATAATATATTATCAGAGCATGTTTGCATGTTCACTACAAAAAGTACGTGTGGTTAATGCGAACTTGATTCCTCGCAAAGGTTTCTATTTGATGTTTGAACATCGTAACACCTTCTTTGGTTCTTTCGGTAAAGTCACGTAGAATGAGAATAAAATAATAAAATAAAATAAGAAAATAAAATTCTCACGACGTTTCGGCCACAACACAAGTAGCCGTCCTCAGGTGTCTTCACTCAAGCGCTGTCTTCTGGACAGTCCTGCTTCTTCACCTGAGGACGGCTACTTGTGTTGTGGCCGGAAACGTAGTGAGCATTTTATTTTCTTATTTTATTTTATTATTTTATTCTCATTCTACGTGACTTTACCGAAAGAACCAAAGAAGATGAATCCTTGCAGTCACGAAAGCTTTAAATCGTAACACCTGTTTTTATTGCCAGAAAGGGTAAAACCTTTTCTTATTTTTTCACACCAACAAAGACACATTTGCTAATCGTGAATATGTTATACTTTAACGAAGTGTTGACTGATGCTTCTGATGAGAAACATTGGACGCGTCCCGTTATCTCCGACCATGGCACGTCGAGACGCGTCCTGCCTCAAGCCCCACTGATCTTTGTTCACAATTCGAACGACGTTATAGCAATGCAGAGAGCGCCGCAAAAAATCCGTGCCGGGTAGGAGAGTAACCTTGCCTATCCGCGCTGGGATATGCGGAGGACGGTGCCTATCCGTGTTGGGAAATGTACCTCGCGCTTATCCGTGCCGGAGAAATAAAGCGCGCTTATGCCTATCCGTACTGGGTAAAGTGCCGCGCCTATCCGTGGTGGGAAATATAAAGCGCCGTCCATATCCGTGCTGGGAAATGTAGAGCGCTATGTTTGTCCGTAGTGGGAATTGTAGAGAGCCCATGCTTGTCCGCGTTGGGAAATGCAGACCGCGGCCCCAAAAGTTCCCGGATGCGGCCCGGGTTCCCGGATGACGCCAGAGTGCCGGCGCAGGGCGCCCTGCCCGGGGTGACGGGAGCGGCGCAGGCGGCGGGGTCATGCCTGGAAGCCGAGCCCGACTCGCAGGTGAGGCACACGGACGCGCACGGGAGTCGCGGCTGCTCGGCCAGGAGCAGCGGCGCTGGCTTAAGCCGCGACCGGCGAGTGCCGAGACTAGGCCGCTCTCGGGCCCTCGCTTCTTGTCTAGCCGAGCCGCCCCCCCCACTGCCCCCCTCCGGGGTTCGAGGCGCGGGAGAACCCGCCGCCGCTTTGCGGCCTCTTGCCGCGTGGTCGCCGTGCGGGGCGAGTGGCGGGATGGTTGTTGTTGTTGTGTTCGAGTGCGGGTCTCATCGCGCTCGCGGAGCGCGCGTTTGGCGCGACTCTCCCGGTGGCGGGGGTCCTCTCGCGCGCGTCCTCCCTCCCGGCGGGCGGACGGGCGGCCTGAGACTCGGGTCGCGACATGAGGGAACGGGCCGAGCAAGCGTAAGCAACCCGGTTGCAATCGGGAAACATGCCGGGAGGTTAAACCGCGAAGCGATTCAAAGTGGTAACAACTTTAAAAAAAAAAGTAAGCGTGCTTGGGCAGGATACGTCGCTGGAAGTGATGATGATGATGGTGGTGGTGGCCGGCGGGGCGAGGCGCAGCCTGGGCAAATGGCACGGGGGAGGGAGGGAGGGAGGCGCCCTCCTCGCGGAGCTGTTGCGAGCGTGTGGGAGACCGGGGATTTGTCACATTGCAGGGTTGACTGAGGGGGATGGCGGGAAACTTGTTCGGTGAGGGAGGTTTCTTCATTGAGCGTTGTTGGTTGGGTTGATGGTGGCCGGTGGTGGCGGTGGTGATTTGCGCCCGAACGCGGCTTTTACAAACAAGGAAACGGCGCCCGGACTTTGACACGTGTCTACCGCGGTCGCAATCCCGCCTCCACTTCTCGCACTCGTCAATTTCACGGCGCAAAGCGCAACACGTTCGTCATTAACACGCGGGCCATTGTCCGAAACGTCGCCGACTATATGGTGTTTCCCTCAAGGCAGCGGTTGTTGACGAATGTGTTTTAGTTTTGTTTCCCTGTTCATTGTGTTTCTGCACCACTGCCAACGCAGCCAGCAGCTTCACCGAATACAGTATCATTTTGTCTATCGTAGTGGAAGTACAGTACACCCCCCCACCCGCAGGCCCCCCCCCCACCCCCAGGCCCCCCCCCCCACCCCCAGGCCCCCCCCCCCCACCCCCAGGCCCTCCTCCCCCCCCCAGGCTGCCCCCCCCCCAAGTTGCCCCCCCCCCCCAAGTTGCCCCCCCCCCAGCCCCCCACCCGCAGACCCCCCCCCCTCGCCACCCGTCGAGCGCTGCCCGGCGCGTAGCTTCCAATCCCATCGGGGCGCGTGTGGCCTCCAGCCAATCAGAGCGCCGGGTAGAAGCGGACGGACAAATCCTGAGTTTAAAAATAACAATCCCTCGTTCTTCGGCGACTCAACATACGGAATTCCGCAATAACAATAACAAATTAGGGGATACATTCAAAGGTCACGTTTACGTAAAAAAAAAATTGGAACAATCTGCCCGTTGACCGGACGTGCAATGAAGACGGATCCAAATCTTGACTTAAAGCTTTCGTGACTGCAGGAATGAATATTCTTTGGGTCTTCAGGTAAAGCGGTCATCAGGCATTCTTTGCCTGCTGACGACCGCTTGTGTTGCGATCGAAACGGCGTAATTTTTTTTGTTATTTTCTTTGAACCTATCTAAGTGACTTTCCCGAAAGACCCAAACAATATGACGGATCCAGGTCGACTGCGCGTGCCTTTTAAAACTTTACTCGTCACCCGCGATGTATATTTAAGTGTTTATAATTGATCGAAAAATGATAAAGTTTTTAAAGGTTTGCTGAATTCTGAAGTGTGATTTTTTTTTTAATTACGTCTTTGGATCAACATTTTTCTATGGATCTCCAATTACATAATGCACGACAATGGGAAAATAGGGTTTCCATACACGAAATGTGGCTTTACGGACAACTATTCTCCTGGATACCTGTGGAAAAAGAGCTCTTAGCTCATTGGATGCCTCCAGCATAAATACGTGGTTTGATTCGGAAACGTACCTCTTACGTATATAATTGAGGGATGCCTGTTAAAGTAATGCCCGCGTATTTGTGCGGAACACACGGCTGGGGTGAAGGGTGGGTGAGGCGTGACGTCAGCGTGAGCTTAACGATGTGGAATGCGGGTGACGTCATTGCCGTTCCCTTGCCAGCAATCGCTCCAGCCAGCCTGCCAGCCAGCAAGACTTTTGTATGATATGGTACGATACAATAGGCGATGGCCCGAATTCCTATAATATTTATGTGTTACAGCCAGTTTATCATTCCCTTTAACAATGCCTGGGACGTTTGATGTCGATGTCCCATCGGTTTATGGACTAAAGTATTATTTATTCGGATGATGAAACAGTCCCACGTGTCTTTTCGGACACCAGTCTAGGGGGACGAGTAATTGGGGCTTTTTTGGTCCACGTTGCTGTGGCAGGAGGGAACCATGACCGTGCCGTGCGGAGCAGAGGGAACCTCATCCGGTAACAAGCTCACGGTCGTGGCCCCCACCTCGTCCACGGAGGTGCTGGCGGCGACCGATGAGTGGCTGAGCACTGAATTCTGCTGCCCTCCCCAGTGCCAGCAGGAACCCTCCCCGTTACCGGACGCTGCACGAGAGCACAGCATGTCTGTACCGAATAAGTCTGTCCTGCAAGGTGAGCGTGTGACCGCACGACCTCATGAACCTCTGCCCATACTGGACATCTGTGAAAAAGAGCCTCATGGCTCATCGGATTCCTCTAGTCTAAGTAAAGATTGTGATTGTGACAACGTCGAGGGCAGCTTTGTCGCCACTGATGTTGCTGTTCATGAGTAAATGGGTACCTCACATTTTCACGAACTTGAGCTTTACGCTTCATTGCAAATATTTATGCCGCTTGGCGTCTGTGGAACGCTATTTTTCTCGAAAGGGTAATGGCACGGTTACTGGCCGAGCCAATGAATTTCCACAACAGCCTCTTTAGCAGTGGAGCGGTTTGTAGCTCACCGTTTACTTCACCGTGCTCTTTGGCGCAGAGGAGGACGATGGCATTCCGGCTGCTCGGATCACTCTGTTTGCGCCGGAGCGACTCCATCTCAAGTGGGAGAGGAACGTGTGCGAGGGTGCCGGCCTGCAGAACCTCGGCAACACCTGTTTCCTCAATGCCACGCTGCAGTGCCTGACGTACACGCCGCCGCTCGCAAACTACCTGCTTCTGCAAGAACACTCGCGCACCTGTGAGTTCTGCCCCTTGCCCCACCCACCTCCCCAATGCCGTCGTGTACCGATGAGTTCGAAATAAACATGAGCAGATGTGGTTGTCTTTAAAAGGCTGCACAGATTTCGGTTTCCCGGCCATGTGTTACCCCTCGGCCGGACTCCCTGAGTGTAACTGTTGTGCACCGACGGATTGTGCTACCTACGCCTAATTCCCAGGCAAACGGAACGACTTCTGCCTGATGTGCTTGATGGAGAGTCACGTCATCAGCACGTTCAACAACTCCATCGGCATCATACAACCCATACTCATCACTCGAAACCTCACACGTGAGTTCCGGAACTTTTTTCACACTTGCAATCGAATAAAAGGGAAACTATCTCCGTGATCCTCTGTCATCTGTGTTCAAAATCCTTTTCAAATGTCTGTTGGAGAGCCGTTGAAAGATATGGGATTGTTGGATACTGTACCTGTAACCTCGTGCCCTCGCCCGTTTCCCTGCAGGCATTGCCAAACACCTGCGTTTTGGAGAACAGGAGGATGCCCATGAGTTTTTAAGATACATGGTAGATGCCATGCAACTCTCGTGCCTCTATGACCACAGCGAGTGAGTACTGCACGTCGGTCAACTGCAGCATTTGTTCTGCAGTACGGTGTACCTTACGGCTTTCTCTCGGTTCTCGACGTGAGTCACCTGGGAGGGTGACGACATCTATATCACTGTCTTTAAATGTCTTTGAAAAGGTATCCGAAAATTTTGAGCGACAAACCGGCGTTCAGTTCGGAGATGAGGACTGACGCAAACTGGCACTACGTTTCTTTCAATCTGGCCCGAACGTGGGCTGCTTTTTGGTTGCTAATAAATACCAGGAGATCGATCTTTCGACGTCCAGTAGTGGCGCCTTGACGACATTCGTTGTGTTGACGAGCAGTACGTGGCGCGCCCGCACAAAAACGCAGTAGCGGAGCACTGTGTGACGGCTGTCAGCTTGCTTACAGGTCTCCGGTTGTGCCATGAAAGGCGGCTGCCCTATGCAGATCCTACCACGTTTAGCTGACACAGAGCGTGCTTTTGCGTTGCTGAAGGGACACAATCAACAGCTCGGGCAATTGTGCAACACGTTTGCATCTGGCAAAGATGTTGCTGCTGCTGTAACCACCGTGTGGTGTCGTTGCGTGACTTTAAGACTGGACAGGTACACGGAGGCTACCACTCTCATCTACCAAATCTTTGGAGGGTATCTGCGATCACGAGGTGAGTTCGGTACACTCTAGAAACGTGTTATTTGCAAGCAGCAATCACACTATCATGGTGTAAAAGTGCTGGCGAGCAGCCTTTACACACAGACACAAGTGGCATAAACAAACTTGTTTTCAGTTGGTGCAAACTTTTAACTGTGGTGGTGGTGCACGTGAATTAATGTTGACGACGTAACATGTGACATCCCTCTAACGTGTGTGTGCTTGTGTTTTTGCAGTTGAGTGCATGCAGTGCTTGGGCACCTCCATTACCTATGAAACGTGCCTGGACATTGCACTCCAAATCAATGTAAGTAATGCGGAAGCCATTGCTTAAAATGTATCTTAATCAGCCACCTAGCAATTACAGTGAAACCTTGGATTGCGAGTAACTTGGTCTGCAAGTGTTTTGCAAGTCGAGCAATTTTTTAAAATAAATATTAATTTGATAAACGAGCGAGGTCTTGCAATACGAGTAGTACGTATACGCTTTGTCTGCCGAGCGTCACGTGATCACAACTGATATACGAGTGCTTTGATATACGAGTGCTTTGGATTACAAACACGTTTCCGGAACGAATTATGCTCGCAATCCAAGGTTTTACTCTATCTATTTTTTTATTTTCCCAGGTAAGGCTCAGTGACCTATGTAGCTCGTTTTTCAGAAGCGACTTGGCCACAAATGATAGGTCAACGAAGTTAATTATCACGTTGAAATGTATAGCAACCAAATACTCTTTAAACACATGATTTTGAATGTGGAGGGAAAAACTGGAGGACCCGGAAGAAAATCTTTTCGACCGCAGGGAGAACATACTCCTGATATACATGCGTCAGGGTCGGAATTTAACCCACGATGTCACCCAAATAAATACGCTGCCAGTAGCGTACACAATCTCTTAATTGCGGTTGTATGATTTAATACGAGATGTGGTTTCTGAGAATTGCCATCCGAATATAATTCTGCACATGCTTATGGAATGCTTCTCTCAGACTCTTTGCCTTTACTCTTGTCGGGCAACAGAACTCCTCAGATCTGGTGGAGGCGTTTCGCGAGTTTGTCAAGATGGAGACCCTGGATGACTACACCTGTGGAACGTGAGTGTGCATTGGCAACGCACGTTGACTTCAAAACGATGTCGTGACTTGAAAAGTTTGCAGATGTGAAAAAGTGTACATTTTGCTGCATGAAGCTGGACTTGCCGGTTGCGAATGCATATGATGGCCAGGTTTGTTGTCGTTATGCACAGGTGCTGTCGCAAGGTCAAAGCGACAAAAAGATTAACTCTACACCGCCTGCCGAACGTGCTCACCATCTCAATAAAGCGCTACAGCTACTTTGGCACCAAGATTAACCGGGTAACTCTTCTCCCCCTATGCATTGGTATCATTATTAATTTAATTACAGCCGCTTTGTCGGTCCAATGTTGGAGAGAATGCCTCCCCATGCTGGAATGGTCGTGGGTGTTGCTTGCTAGTGCGGTGGCGAGAGGTTAACCACCTCACCTGGTATGCACGAGGTCATGGGTGTGATCCAAACCCTGATGCCTGTTTATTTGGAATTTGCATGTTCTCCCCGTGAACGCGTGAATTTTTCTCTGGGTGATAAGCCACATTTAGTTGCGCTATCATTTGTGGCCAGCTTGCTTCTGAAAAAGAGCTATATAGCTCAGTGGGTCTTACCTGGTAAAATAAAAATTGTTTCATAGTTTTAATACTTCACCACGCCGGTTGGTGTGGCTTGGTGAATGGGAGTGGCCCAGGACCTCTCTGATTTTATCCCTTGCCAAAAATCACCGGGGTGTGGGGAGATGGGGATGTTCGGGCTGGGGGTGGAACTGCCGTTCAACATTGGGTGTTTCCACCGGTTGAGATGCAAATTACTTTGAGGTGTCCACTCTAGATGCCATGCCATGATATTCCGGCCAGGTAGCTCAGCAGGAGAGCGAGCGGTGCGAAATCGGAACATTGGGAGTTGAAATCCTGCTTGAGGGTTGACTCAACCATCATCCCTCGGTGTTGATAAAATAAATACCACCTTGTGGGGAAATCACCAGAGGATGTGTGATGGATAGACTCGCCCTGGTAGTATGAATGTAGAATTTTCACTACTTGCTCGGGACTATAAACAGGACGTGAGCCCCGTTTTACGCTCATTTGAGCAAGAAATCACTTGGATGCTTTGACTTGTAACTAAGATACTGCCCATCTCTGCAGCCCCCCCCCCCTGCCCTGCCCCCCCACACCCCCGCCAAAACTTTCCTCTCCTAATTTTTGTCACTCTCTTGCTGCCTCCTCCTACTGCTGCGACTTGTGTGGTGGCTGTAGGACATCACCTATCCGGAGCACCTGGATGTGCAACCCTTCATGTCGAAGTCCCCGGGCGAGCCTGTGATATACATCCTTTATTCAGTGCTGGTGCATGCGGGCACTGACTGCGACATTGGACATTATTATTGCTATAATAAGGTAATTGCATTTGTTGCCAACAACCAAAGAACAACAATGCTGCACATTTGTAATGCATGGTATGATGCACATAAAGAACGTATTGTGTGTTATTACCTGAATGAAGTTGGGCGCATGTGTAGAAATTGTTATGAAGCACAGATGTGCTTTAATTGTGTGCAGATCAGCGATGGAAACTGGTACTGCATGAACGACTCCCTCGTGCGGCGGGTCGACACTGGTGTGGTGATGAACGAGCAGGCCTACATGCTCTTCTATATTCGGCAAGTTCGTGCTTCTGTCCCCTCTACTCTGACCTGCACAATGAACCGCGCCCCTAGGCAGCTCTCTCTGCACCGACACTGGCTCACGCAAGCGACAGTGCCTCCATTGAAGGCCATTGACGTTTGGAATCTGACCAATTTGTAGTGCAGCGCCTTAATGTTAACTACCTCATCACGGAGTGCCGTGGTGGTGAGATGTTAACTACCTCGCCTTGCATACGGGAGGTCGTGGGTTCTATCCCGACCCTAACTCCTGCTTTATATTTGGAGTTTGCGTGTCCCTCCCGGTGGTCATGTGGATTTTTCTCCGGGCCCGCCGGTTTTTCGTTCCACATTCAGAAACATCCGTTTTGGAGTATTTGGTCGCTATAAATTTCCACGTGATGACGAGCCACTTCACTGAACTATCGTTTGTGGCCAGGTCACGAGAGTTCAGTGGGCCTTACCTGGTTAAAAAAAAAAGAAATAGCGTGTAGTTTGTGATCGTTTTTTTAGTTTTGATGGGCATCCGCCACGGCGGTGAAGCGAGCGGGCGGCGTTAACGGTTTGCGACGTGTTGCGCGGGGTGCTGTGTGCTTTGTGCAGATGCCCAGAGTTGAGCGCGATACCGGCCGACAGTTACCGTCCGCTGGGGCAGGCGACGGCAGCGGCGGCGTACCGGGCGGCCCTGAAGAAGCGGTCCTGCCCGGCGCTGGAGACTTCGGGCCCCGTCTCTGGACCGCAGCTCTCCTCTCACGTGGCCAAGGTAAAGGATGTTTTTTTATTTATGCAAACATTCCCCCCCACCCCCCCCCCCCCCCCCCCCCCCGTACCTTTGATCAGCGTGGTTGGCTACGTACAGTGCGAAAGAAATGCAACATCCGTACATAATATCTGGTACAAAAGATTATTACCGAAGCTATCAACAGAAGTTGTGTACCGGATTTATTGCACTTGTGGCAAATGCTATGTTGGGCAAACAGGACGAAAGATCAGCATGAGACTAAAAGGACACCAAAGAAATATTTAATGCTCCCAAATACAACTGTCAGCAGTAGCAGAACACGTGTGCCAACAAGGACACTCAATTGATTTTGATAATGTTAAAGTTCTGTGCAAAACTAGTTACTACTGGCCAAGGCTAATTAGAGAATCTATCGAAATTTAGATAAAATAGTTTTAACCTGCTTGGAAGCGAATCATCAAATAATACATTGTTTAAATGCTTGTCTATACAGGTCACCATATTTCAATAGGTATTACCTTTGGTACGGCTATTTTAGTTCACACAATCGACAGGAAGTACAGGGATAATGGGATAGCAGAATGCACATGCATAATTTACGTTGGATACCATATAAATAACGGTCATGGATATCCATCGTCATTGATATGCATTCATTAATCCCCCCCCCACCCACTTCGCACAAGAAGAGCGCGCAAGTGACGTCATCACATCTACCCCTCTGTTTAAGGAACCAAGCAAGTGGAATTTTCCACAAATTAGCTGTCGCCTGATGAAGCCGATTGTAATTACTGGCGAAACGTCGTACTCTGATTGCAAATGTTGTGGCTTGGCTCTCCAACACACTGGTGTGCTGTACCAGTGACGAATTGGCCACGTTCTGTTTACCTGATAAACTTTACTGATTGGCTGTGTCGGGTGGTGGGGGGGGTTTAACGACACATATTTACGCGTTCTAACCCAAAAAAAACCTGTATTATATATACATACATAGAACACTCAGCAGGGGGCGAACTGTGGGTTGTGTTCTCTGAGCTCATGCCTCACTGCAGGATGTGTATTCACATGAGGAGGGGTGGAGGGCACACTTTCCGGTTTAGTGGGGGAGCAGAGATCACATAGAAGGTAAACAAAGGGTGAAGCACAGCACCTCTTGTTTTTACTTAAACCGATTTTGTTTCATTCACCCATTGTCGGGCGTTTAGAACTCTAACACCGTCGCCTTGTTTATCTCCAGAAATCGGAAGTGCCCAAGCTATCTCACCGCTTCAACGGGAGCAATGGCAGCAGCACCTGCAATGGCAACGGCAGCAGCATCGGCATCGGAAACATTATCAGCAGCAGCAACAGCAGCAGCAGCAACGGAAGAGCTGTCAACGGAATCGCTGGCAAGCAGGCGGTAAATAGCAAGAGCAACGGCAGCTCGTCCGTGCGTCAGCGCAAGCGGCACAACGGCAAGCGGCCTGCTCCGCCGCTGCCCAAGCCGTTGTTGGCGTGTGCCGCGGCGCAGGCGCAGCTGAAGCCGCCCAACCCGGCCGCCTTTGTGAGGAGCCCCACGTGCCCGGGTCGGCCGTTCCAGCAGAGGCCGCGTGCCGAGCTCAAGTCGGCGCGCGACACGAACGGCGCGGCGCTCGGCGCGGCGCTCGGCGCGGCGCTCGGCGCGGCGCTCGGCGCGGCGGACGGCGCGGCGGACGGGGCGGCGGACGGGGCGGCGGACGGGGCTTCCGCGCGGCCCGCCAACGGCGCGACTCGCGACAAGCCGGCGAGCAACGGCGGCGAGGCCGCCGCGTCGACGAGGCCTGACGGTGCGGCCGCGGCCGCGTCGCCTCTGTCGACGGGGGCCACCGCCGCCGCGCCGGCGTTGGCCGCGAGCGGCCCGGGGGTGCAGTTCAAGCGCAGCGGCAGCGGCAACCTCCAGCCGGACAAGCTGCTGGACAAAGAGTCGATCGGGGAATACGCCAGGCTGAAGCCGGGCAGCAGCAGCTGCGAGGGTGGCGTCACCGCCCCGTCGAATTTTGCGGCGCCCTCGCAGCACCGTGGCTTCTTCAGCTCGAGCAAGCTTGTCTTCCGCAACGACCATCGGAACCAGTCAACGTCCCTGGTCCCTTATGCGCCCGGCGAATCCTCGGAAGAGTCTGAGACTGAGATTGTGACGAAGAGGACCGAGGAATCGGCAAACCTGCGCTCGCGTTTGGACGGCGCAGGGCGCCGCTGCGGTGCAGCCAGCGGCGTCGCAGCCGCCTCGGGTGAAGGCTCGGCGAACAGTCTGGCGTCCGGAAACGAGGGGGGTGCGGGGGACTCGGGTGGGAGGCCGCAGACCAGCGGCGAGGGCTGTGTGCGGCCGGTGACCATCCCGAGCGGCGCAGCTGTGAACGGGAACAAAGAGAGAACCGCTGCGGGAGATCTGCTCGCAGATGCAGAGGTGAGCACAGCTTGGGTCACTCTGCGGTATAATTTTTGTTATATTACACTTTGAATGACAACGCGCTTAAGAATCACCGATTCTGAATAGTGTTTTCTTAAATAAACCGATGACGTTTTTCATAATTTGCAATGCCTCCGTGCTGTTGCAGGAATTCAAAAAAGTGTTTATCGGCGAGGGTGGAGTTACTGACCCACCCAAAACCAGTGACCAAAGGTCAACTTCCGGCGCCTCTTGGTACGTATTTCACATTCTCAGTTAAGACTCTTCTTCGTGCGTGCTTCTTAACATGCTGACATCGAGTCTTGTGGCTTCAACCTGTGCTCTGTCTTCCTACAGGAACGTGGGTGCACAGCAGTTGCCAACGTGCAAAGAGAACGGAGGCGGCCATTCTTCAAGCGAGGGTAGTAGCCACGCACCGGTTCCGCCGCCTCCCAATCCCACGAGCACGTCGGTCGTGGGCAAACCAAAAGACTCGCCGCAGGTGGCTCGCCTAAAGCTGCCACTGCTCGATCACCGCACGCAATTTCACTGGGAGCGGTGGACCAGCGGCTCGGCGCAGGCGCTCACGAGGCCGTGCGCACTGGATGCGAGCAACGGTGCTGCCGAGTGCCCGTCGGAGATTTTGTCTGACAGGACGGAGGATCCGGCGCCGCCGATTATAAAACCCGCAGATGAAGTGGCGACAAACGACGGTCTGTGCCTCAAAGGGCAACGCGATGGCGGTGAAGGCGTCCAGGAGTCGCGCGCTCCCCAGCTCGGAGAATCCTACGACCGCGCCGGCTGCCGGCGTCTCAGCAGCAGGTCGAGGTCGTCGTCGAGGTCGTCGTCGAGGTCGTCGTCGAGGTCGTCGTCGAGGTCGTCGTCGAGGTCGAGGTCGTCGTCGAGGCGACGGAGCAAAATGCGCCGGGTGGACATGCCCCCGCGGATTGCTCGTTGGCACGTTGGCAACGGTGATCACAGCAACCCCCCACACAAGCGGGGCAGCCGTCGCCGGTCAGACAGCCGCTGCCGGTCTCCGAGCAAGCACCGCTATCGCCGGTCTCCAAGCAGCCATCGTCATCGTCGGTCTCCTAGCAGCCAGCACCACCGCCGCCGATCGCGCAGCAGCCGCCGCCGATCTCCTAGCAACCGCCGCCGGTCTCTTAGCAACCGCCGTCGGTCTCCTAGCAACCGCCGCCGGTCTCTTAGCAGCCGCCGCCGATCTCCTAGCAACCGCCGCCGATCTCCTAGCAACCGCCGCCGGTCTCCGAGCAACCACCGCCGGTCTCCTAGCAACCACCGCCGGTCTCCTAGCAACCACCGCCGGTCTCTTAGCAGCCGCCGCCGATCTCCTAGCAACCGCCGCCGATCGCGCAGCAGCCACCGCCGGTCTCCTAGCAACCACCGCCGGTCTCCTAGCAACCACCGCCGGTCTCCTCGCAACCACCGCCGGTCTCCTCGCAACCACCGCCGGTCTCCGAGCAACCGCCGCCGGTCTCCTAGCAACCACCGCCGATCTCGCAGCAGCCACCGCCGGTCTCCTAGCAGTCACCGTGGGTCTAGCAGCCGCCGCCACCGCCACCACCACCGCCACCACCACCACCGCCGCTCACGCAGCAGCCACGGCCATCGCCGGTCTCCTAGCAGCCAACGCCGGTCGGACAGGCGGCACTCGCGCCACCGAAGCCGGAGCGGAGTGAGCTGCTCGAGAGACGCGAGAGACTCGGATCGCCGCTGGCGTCGAGGAGAACGTAGCCCCAGCGCCGCTGTGCGACGCCACCGGAGAGACCGCCAGCATTGGGCGGCTGGCAGGCACCGCACGTGCTATTCGTGAGCTTCATCATTGTTTTCATCTTCCGCATCATGGACAAGCAAAAGCAAGTTTTTAACGCGTAGGCTTTCGCGACCAATATTGTTGATGATAAAGGTTTTTTTTTGGGGTTAGAGCGCGCAAGTGCAATTGTGTCGTAACCCTCCGCCACCCGACACAGCCCGTCAGGTTTGTCACGTGAACAAAACGTGACAAATAGTTACTACTTTGGAGAGTAAATCCACAACGTTTACAATTTGAGTCGCGCGACGTTTCGCTGGTGATTACATTAACCAGCATCATCGGGCGATTTGCCAGAATAGTGAAGCCATCCACCTGCTTCCGGTCTTAGATAGATCAGCAGCAAGACGACTTCATCACTGAAGCCATCAGGTGCAGAAGTCAGAGGGGGGGGTTATTGTAATTACATAATAGATTAATAATCATTTAATTTAGATCATGGGACCTCCTTTGCCGTACGCCTTCTGACGTCCTCTGGTCGAACACCGTTTGAGACGAGGCTCAAATGAAAGCTGTCTCTGGTGTGGACCAATCAGTTTCAAGGACAATGCCATATATTATCAGTGTTTTTTGTTTGCATTCTGACCACAAGCATTGTGGCTATTGCAGACATGATTCCTTGTTAAAGGTTTCAGTTTGGTGTTTTAACATCTTAACACCTGTTTTGTTGCTAGAAAAAAGGAGAAAAACCTATTATCAATCATTTTATTAGTATGCTTCCTCTATAAGTAATTGTAAGATGTCTTCCTCTTCTACGCGTTTGTCCCACTTGTGGGGTTCGCCGGCCTTGTCAACTTCCACACCGCCCCGTCCCACGCCATGCTTGTCATTGTAAGATGAGATCAAGAGGAAGGCATAAGAAGAGGTGGGGCGCTGTGGTGCGGTCAATCGTGGTGACCCCGAGGAGCGGAGGGAGAGATGATGCTGGATGTAATTACCAGCAAAACGTCGTATTCAAATTGTAAATGTTGTGGATTTACTCTCCAACGCATCGGTGGGCTGAAGTCACTAATTGACGTGACGAACATTACTGGCTGTGTCGGGTGGTGGAGGGTTGCAGCACATTTTGTACTCGCGCGATCTCACCCATAAACCTTTATTATGAAGCAAAAGCAACCACTACAAAACATACAGCTCAGAGTAAAATCACTACGAGTTACTGGACAATAATTAAGATTCTGTTCAGGATTTTGTATTATTGCTAGTTAATAAACAGTTGTAGGATAGGATACAGGCCATCCACATATTTTTCCTTCACCCTTATCTCTGATATGGTTGTTTTATAAAAAAAAAAATCCCCAGGGTGGATACATGGGGGGGAGGGGGGGGGGATGCTATGAAACTACATCACACCACTGCATCTGCGCATCCTTGATTCCACGATCCCTCCTGTGCCACTGGTCAAAGTGAAATGTATCCAGTGCCTAGACCTGACCATGGCTCCCAGGGGTCACTCCCGCAGCTTTAATTACCAACAGCCGAGCCCTTTGCCCGTTGTCCAGCAGGCCCCACTCGTTGGTGCCCCTTGGATTAATAATTTTTTTATCGGAGGCGAACGCAAGCGTTTGCCCGCTTGTCCGTTGGCTCAAGCGAGAGATTAAACGTGGACCTGGGAAAGTGATCCGCTTTTTTTTTTGTTAAATGAGAAACTGGTTTTGCACATGCACTACTTACAGCAACATGACTGGAGATTTTAGGAATGTGATTTATCACTTACGTTAGCTTTTTTTTGCAAAAGATATCCAATATTTCTTGTCTGGAGGCCCCCCCCCCCCCCCCCCCCCCCCCCCCCCCGAGTGCAGCTGAATGAATTGCCCCCCCTCGCCCCCCTCCCCCCCTTGTTGAACTGGGAGAATAACTCGGCCATCATTGACTTGTCTGCGCACACAGAGTTGAGCACTCGTCCGAGCACGGTCATCAAAAAAACGAACTCGGTGCTCGTAAACAACACTGCCTTTAAAGAAAATGTATATAATTGGCAACGGCCCTTCGTAGCAGACGTGGTTTTTTGAGCTATGAAAAAGAGCCGTTGCCTAATACATTGCGGATTATATATATTTTTTATATATTATATTTTTATACATTTTGTTTTCTTTTAAGGCAGTTGAGTTCACCGCGTGTTTTTGCTGGTGTCCAATGTCGGTGCTGAATGGCCCCGTCTCGTGCACCTAAAAACTTACCTGCTCTCAACGTTACGGTTACGAGATCTGGACATGGCTTGCAATTGTTTTTTTTACCAGGCCAATTCTCAACGGAGTTATCATTGGGAAGGTTGTTGTAACGGTGACCGCAAAACAATGATTCCCCCATTTACAAACGAATTGCGAACGAGATGTTTCTCCGCAATGCACGGTCGAGATGTAGCAGCTGTGGACGGTGTGAGTGGTCTCCCTGAGGTGGTGGTGGCGGGGGGAGGATTTCTGGGCGCTGTTTGCGTCTGTTTATTTTAAATGCGGGCATTTTTTTTGTGCGTGTCGGCGATTTCAAAAGTCACCTGCTGGTTTCTCATCGTTAGCGTTAATTTTTTTTTGTTAAATGTGAATGCGTCGGTATTTTTAAAATACACACCTGTTCCGTTTTTTTATATATATGCATATGGAGCGTGTGCAATTTCATTGAGCACGCTAACCGGAGCGCCATACGGTTACAATATGAAATGTATAAATAAATTATTTGCGTGTGTTGTGAAATGGGTACCGCTGTTTGACTGCATTGGTGTGCAACGACAACAACTAAAACATTAACATGGTGAAGCTGCAATGCTCGCAAACTCGAAGCGACGCAGGTTATTCGAATTGTTTTATTTGAGGAACCTTGCAATAATTGTCGGTGTCAAAAACGTTACAATTCAAGTGTTCACGTTCCCGAGTAATTCACGCGATGATTTCGGTCTCCTCCGGGTCCAGTGTGCAGCACCTCCCTCGGCCTTGTACCTTGGAGGAGGGAAATGAATAATCTCACGTCCAACTTCTGTTTGACATGGCCCCAAACTCTTATCAGCGTTAAGCCGTTACCGACTTGTCCCTCTCGCTCGGAATGTGCGAGTATCGGTGATGGCAGTGTGATCATCCATGAGCTGTTGGATGCACGGGGTGGGGGTGGGTGGACTGTTTGTCTGCTTGGGAAGCCTGCAGGCAGGCGTGGTGAGCGGTGGTGAGCGGTGGTGAGTGGTGGTGAGTATGGCGACGCGCGCGCGTGTAGCGTTGGTGCAAGTGAAAACGGCGGTTTCTTAATCCCTGAATGTAGTTTGTACAATTTATTTTGCTTTTATTTTTCAACAATAATTTCAGTCTCCTCAGGATTTGTGTTGTTGGTGTTGTAACCTTTTATTAAAGCGGCTCTCGAAGTGTGTGAAAGGGGGAGGGGGTGGTGATGAATGGAGTTCTGAGAGCGAATTTGTTTACCTCGTTTTCATTTGTACTTGAGATTCATAAATACTTGTCATAACACCACTGGTTTCGCCTCCGTTTCTCATCGAAGTGGCATGCGCTGTTTTAACTCGGGTAACCTCCAGTGCCGGATTAAGCTCGTGCGGGGCCTGTAGCATACATTATAAAGGGGCCCTAAATAAAAATACAACACATTAATATTTAAACACAGATTTTTTAACTTGTACAGTAAAGTAATTGTATTTTTTCATTTGCTATAAAGCCAGATAATACGACAAATCGCTAACCTTAAACACCCGGTCGTTCATAAAAGTTTAAGGCGGTATAGTGCTATAGTAATAGAGCAAGTGCAGAATCACTGAACCGGGATTGATAGCTTGAAAGCATTTAGCGCGGGGCCCTTGAAAGTGCGGGGCCCGTAGCATATTGTAGCTACTGCATATGTAGCTACTTTTGCTACGGGGATAATCCGGCATTGGTAAGCTCACCATCGCTGTGGTGGATTGCCAGAGGGCTGCTGCGGCTTGCTGTCTGTACTCTATGCTTAGCCTCGTCACCCGCAGTGCAGTCCGACGATCGTAGCCACACATCTGCAGTGGCTTTGGTGCCGACACAACTGAGGGCACGCACACGCACAAGTGGCACACGCGCGGCGAAGGGTAACCTCTTATTTAATAAAACAGAAATGGGGAAAAAGGATAACAAAAACAGCCGTCGCGGTTATTTACAAAACGAGGACAACGCCGTGGTTGTGTTTTTTTGTTTTTATCAGGAACTCGCTGCGCAATGCAGTGGGGGAGAGACATTGACAATTTAACCCCCCCCCCTTCCCCTCCAAAACATTTTTTTATACTTTTTCTTTGTAACACTGAAGCATTAATTGAACAACGTAAATTGTTACAGTTCAACATTCAACAATTTCTTACACCCGGGGTCATTTTAGTTCAATATATATTTCTAGCTAAATCTGTCCGATTTGATTTTAAAAAAACGTGAAAACAATCGCACATTACTCCCACCGCTACGGCTACTGAGAGCCACGGGTGTTAATCACAACGACTTGCGGAATACTGAACAAACGAAAACAAACTTGTTACCCTCCTTCGATCCAAGACGACGAATTTCATGGCAAATTCTGCATTTGTATCGTAATGGCTTGAAAAAACGACATTGCACAGTTAATGGATACATCTACTCAAACAAGGGGTGACCGTGGCTCAAGTATAAACGCCTTCATTATTACATGGGGGTCACCTTGCGGGGTTTAGAACGGCTTTGTTTTGTTTCCTATCCAATCCTTTTAGTAACACGTGTTTTAATACTGATTATTACGAAGTGCACACGGCGGCAAGAGCACACACACTTATACATGGAATCGGTCATCATTGACAATTATGGATAGATGGGGTCAAACAGGGTGGCTGCAGTGGCATAGTTGGGCAGTGCACCGCGCTACGAACCCGGCATACCTGAGTTCAATTCCCGACCACGGCTAACAAACATCAATGGAGAATGATGTCGGATCTGGAGTCCCCTACCTCCACCGACCAGCACCGAGCACCGTGGTGGGATCTCGACAAACAACCTGCCATGGCGGGGAGGCCATCCAGCAGTGGATTGCCCATGGGCTCTAGTAAATTATTACTATTTATCAAATAGCCGCAGGCTCACAACGCTCCACCCCATATGCAGCTTGGGTTGGGACAGAACGTTGGAATCAGACGGCTAATTGACGGTGGTGGGGGGGGGGTCACACGTCT